TGGTGGTGGTGGTGGTGGTGCGGCGCGGTGGTGGCGGGCGGATGGGCGCGCGAGAAAGAGGCCCGCGCTGGGGCGAGAACGCCATCCTGAACGACGGCGGCCAAACACCGATCCGAAAATGAGGCCCACGCTGCAGCGGGAGCACGATTCGGAACGATTCGGGAGCAGAAATGAGGCCGGCGCCTCAGCGAGAGCATCATTTTTTAAATAAAAAACCAAGCAGGCGAAAACCCGTTTCCCGGGAATCCTGTGTGTAAAAAAAAGTACGCGGGGGGCGTTCGGCCCGAAAATGACGCCGGCGCCTCAGCGAGAGTCGTTTCCCGGGATTTCCCGGGAATCCTGTGTGTACAAAAAAACAGTACGCGGAGAATGCGCGGCCATCACCCGGACGCCATCAGGGGAAGAGGGAGAGTATTTTCATATTGAGTAATTGTGGTGGAGGAGGAGGAGGGGGAGGGGGAGGAGGAGGAGGAGGCGGTGGAGGGAGGAGGAGGAGGGAGGAGGAGGAGGAGGCGGAGGGGGAGGAGGAGGAGGAGGAGAGGAGAGGGGGGAGGGAGGAGGAGGAGGAGGAGGACCTATGGTAGTGCTGGTGGCGGAAATTCGGCCCATCACCTCTCTCCCGTGATGCGCACCTTCTCCGCCGCGCTCGCGGCGCTCCTTGGGGCCGCCCTCTCGGCGAGCCCCCCGCCACAGCCCGCCTCGGCGGCCGCGGCGGCGGCCGCGCCGACGGCAGCGGTGCCAGCAGCGAGCGCGCCGGCGGCGGCAGCCGCGGCGGCGACAGCGCCGCCAGTGGCCACCGCGGCTCCGGCGGCGAGCGCGCCGGCCGCAGCGGCGCCGTCGGTGGCGAGCGCCGCAGCGGCCGCGCCGACGGCAGCGGCGCCGCAGCGAGCGCACCGCCAGCGGCTGCTGCGACAGCGACCGCGCCGCCGGCGGCCACCGCGGCGCCGGCGGGAGCGCGCCGGCCGCAGCGGCGCCGCCGGTGGCGAGTGCGCCGCCAGCAGCGGCCGCGCCAGCCGCGCCGGCCGCGCCAGCCGCGCCAGCCAAGCCGGTGCCGGCGGGGCAGGACGGCCCCGACGACCACGAGGGCCACGACGACCACGACCGCGACGACGACGACCGCGACGTCGACGACGACGACGACGACGACGACGACGACGACGACGACGGCGGTGGCGGCGGCGGCGGCGGTGGCGACGGCGGCTGCGGCGGCGGCGGCGGTCCGGTGGGACGTCGATGACCGAGCCTGCGGCGGGTTGTCTGGGGGCTGCCAAGGCCTTCTGGGAGCAATTCGGGCAAGGGCTTTGCCGGGCGACAGCGGGAGGAAGCGAGCGACATAATCGACGGAAGAAGACAGGGTCGACTGCGCCGACATTCGCACGTCATGCCGCGCGAAAGCGCCCTCGAGCCTCTTCTTCACCGGGTGTGCCACGCTGGCGGCTGGCGTAAGCCGCGGCGTAAGGTCGCTATGCCTTCTCGCGTAAGACCCGTTTCTCTTCGTCGCACACATGGAGGATGTTGCGGCCCGTGTCTGCGGTTTTTTCGGGCGTGCCGATGTTGTGGCTAATCAGAAGTCTCCAGGGAGGAAACTCCACCGATACCGTCAAGGACGGTTCTCGTCGCCACCTCCCCCCTGGGGTCCCGCTGTCTCAGACAGTCAGCCACCCACGGGGGAGCCGCCCAGTTTTTTGGGGGCGGCGGACATGTCTGCCGGCTCCCGACCACCGAGCACTGGCGCGCGGCATATCCGCGCCGCTACCGGGAGGAGCAGGAGGAGGAGGAGGAGAAGGAGGAGGAGGAGGAGGAGGAGGAGGAGGAGGAGGAGGAGGAGGAGAAGGATGGGAGGAGGAGGAGGAGGAGGGGAGGAGGGGAGGAAAGGGAAGGAAGGAGGATGAAGAGGAGAGGAAGGAGGGAGGAGAGAGGAGGCGGAGGAGGGAGGAGGAGGAGGAGGAGGAGGAGGAGGAGGAGGAGGAGGAGGAGGAGGAGGAGGAGGGAGAGCTTTTCCTCCTCCTCCTCCTGCTTCGTCCTTCTCTTCCTCCCTCTTCATCCTCCATCTCTTCTCCTCCTCCTCTTGCTTCCGCCTTCTGACGCTGATGGAATTGGGTCCGGACGTCGGAGCTGCCACGTGCTCCTTTTCCTCCTCCTTTTTCTCCCTTTCTCCTCCTCCTCCCTCCCTCCCTCCCTCCCTCCCGTCCCGTCCCCCCGCCCTCCATCCCCAGGAAGTCGACGCCCTGCGGCCCCCGGTCCCCCGCGCGCCGCCCAAAGCCGCGCCCTTGCCCTGGGCGGGGCCTGTGGACGGCACGTTTTCCTCCGTGGCCGACCTGGACCCGGGCGGGGACTGCGCGGCCGTGGTCAAGAAGAGCTGCCCCGAGGCGGCGAGAGGGGGAGGGAGGGAGGGAGGGAGGGAGGGAGGGAGGGAGGGAGGGAGGGAGGGGAGGTCGGAGGAGGAGGAGGAGGAGGAGGAGGAGGAGGAGGAGGAGGAGGAGGAGGAGGAGGGAGGATAAGGAGGATCACGAGTGTAAACCCAAGGATTTCGCAGCACACACTCCCTCCAAGTTCCCTCTTCACAGGTCCCCGACAGTATTTGCTGTCATTGTGGGAGTCGGCCCATTCGAAGTCAACCGTCTCAGAATCCCCAACCGTTCCAAAGGACAGGTCCTGGAACTTCACCGCCGCGGATTAACGTGGCTGTTGCGTCCTGATAATTCGATATTGTGCCAAAACGCCTTTCCTGGGATTGCAGCACCGCGAATTTACGTGGTTGTTAGGCCCAGGCAATCCTTAATCGTGAAAAGAAGCCACCTTCCATTCTTGAAGCTGCTGCGCACTTTTACGACGAATGTGCGCGCGGTTCAGGCGAGAACAACATTTTGAAAAGGAGCCGCCCTCCATCCTTGAAGCTGTTGCGTATTTTCAGGACGAAGGTGCGTACGCGACGCCAGGGCGAGAACCACATTTTGAACACCGCTCGCACTTCATTTGTGAAACGATTGCAAACTTAACGAATGTGAGCGGCGCTGCGGCTAGAGCCACAATTTCAAGCAGATCCGCCTCTATCAGTGGAGCTGTTGCAATGTCCAAGGTTCAGTTCCATAAGTGGCGAGGAAGTCTTAGGCGAAACGCTCGGCCCGCCCTACCAACACGTCTGGTGGTGCGACAGGGGGGTTGTTCAGATGGAAGGTGGCTGGAGGAGGGAGGAGGAAGAGGTGGGCGCCGTCTGCAGTGTCGTCAGCCGAGACTAACGACAGCAGGCTATATAATATGGAGCCCCAACCGCTGTACTGCAATCGAGCTTCCGTGAGAGGCTCACACGTGCAGCAAACGGAAGGGGAAGGGCCCCCCCCTGGGATCAGCCACTGCGCACCTGGTGCATGCTACGCAGCGGCCCAACCACGAGGCGGCAGCGGGGCCCAGGAGGGCCAGCCCTGTCACTTCGCCCTGCGCACCGTCCAGACGAGGGTCCGCAGGTGGTCGAGCTTGAGGGCCGTGAAGATGGGCACGTCCACGGGCGTAGAGGACAGCGTCATGAGCTCTGCGATCAGCGCCGCGCGCTCGCCAGACGAGCCCTCGTCCGCGGGGGGCGCAATCGCGCCTGCAGGTCCAGCTGCGGCCACAGCAAGCGCCGAGGCAGCCGCGGGCGCCCCAGGCGGCACCGCCGCCGCGCCAGGCGCCATATCTCCAGTCGCGCCAGCCCTGGCCACAGCGGCCTCCTGCCTGCCGCGCCGCCGCGGAATGCGGGGCGGCAGGGAGTCTTGGGTCGGGCCCGAACCAGCTAAAAGTGGCGCTACCTTGGTGTTATGGATATCATATAGGCGGCCACAGGATGGGCACCAAATCGTCACCACATTGAGGGCCGTGGTGACATCGCCAGGCTGGTGCGAAGAGGCCCAGATACAAATTGTGTTAGATCAAAAGAGAAAGGGAGGAGTGGGATGAGGGAGGAGCAATTGGAGGGGGGAGTGAGAGATGGGGGTGGGGAAAGGACGACGAGGGCAGGGGGCAGGGGTGCACATACCGGGGCAGATGGCGTCGCATGAATCTCGGAAGCACAGTCGAGATGAAATGCCACTCACCGCGCCGTTGGGTCAAGTTCGGCACTGGATTCGCCCGCGTCGGTGCCTGCGGCGTTCCGCTGGTGCCAGGGGTGTCGGGCCGGCAAACATATTTTTGCCAGCCCCAGCCGGCGGTCACCGCGGATTTTCGCCAACCCTGTAAAAAATGGGGCCGGCAAAAAATCGGCGGCCTTGTTTGGCACCGCGCGGGGGGGGGCCGGCAACAATATTTTTGCCAGCCCCCTCCCGCTGGCACCATGCGGGGACGGAAACGACGGTGGCGTCCAGGCATCGTTCCTGTTCGGTTGCCCGGGGCTCCGCCAGAGGCCAACCGAGGCATCAGGAGTATCCCAGGGGGTGCAGAATCATCGGGAACTCAAGGAGTGCATGCTCCAGGCGATCCACAATGAGATTTGCAAACGCCAGTTCTCACACAATACCCATGCACGTCCCACTTTTTCCCTCCATCATGGCCCGCGCCTTGGCATGAGCATCTGAAGACCAACGCGCGCCTGGCAACTTATGTTTGGTGACCGTTCAGATCTTGCCAGGCATGCGGTGTCACCGCGCTACCCCCCAAGGTATAGCTGGCTTCGGCCCGACCCAAAGGGAGTCGGCCCAGCTGTCGTCGATCATCCCGTCCTCGTCCTCCATGGCGGCCGCGCACGCTGCGCCTCCAGGGGCTACAGCAGCCGCAGCCACCGCCAGCACTCCAGCAGGCGCCTCGGTGCCTCCGCCATCCCGGCCGAGGCAGGGCGCAGCTACAGGGGCAGCACCCGGATGGCCGCGCGCCTCCTGCCGCCGCGCCGCGAGCCGCTCGCGCCGCCGACGGCGGCGGGCGCGCCTCGCATCGTCCTTCTTCGCATCGTCCACGCCGTCGTCCCCAGCAGCAGCGGGCGGCTCAGGCGGGCCAGCGCTCACGAAGAGCACGGCCGACACCGCCGAGCGGATGACAGCTGCTACCGTCCGCCGAGGCGCTTTCGCCTGCACCGCCGCGCGAACAGCCGCCTCGACGAGGCAAGCAGCATCGAGCGCGGCCCGAGCCCCTCTAGGCCACGACATGTCGCACGGGGGGACGTGTCCAGGCCATGCAGTCGCTTGAGCCAAAATGGCTACGGAGAAGGAGGAGGAAGAGGAAGAGGAGGAGCAGGCGGAGGAGGACGAGGAATAGAAGGAGGAATTACGTAGGAGGAGGGCGAGGGGATCGTGGCGCTTACCTTCTGCTTGTAAGTCGGTGGTCGGGTCGGCCGCTCGGAGTCTTCGGCTTGCTGTGGTGTGTGTGTGTGTGTGTGTGTGTGTGTGTGTGTGTGTGTGTGCGTGCGTGCGTTGTGTGTGTGTGTGTGTGTGTGTGTGTGGTGTGTGTGTGTGTGTGTGCGTGTGCGTGTGTGTGTGTGCGTGTGTGTGTGTGTGTGTGTGCGCGTGTCTGTGTGTGTGTGTGTGTGTGCGTGTGTGTGTGTGTGTGTGCGTCAGCGCGCGCGTGTGTGTGTGTGTGTGTGTGTGTGTGTGTGTGTGTGTGTGTGTGGTGTGTGTGTGTGTGTGTGTGTGTGTGTGTGTGTGTGTGTGTGTGTGTGTGTGTGTGTGTGTGTGTGTGTGTGTGTGTGGTGTGTGTGTGTGTGGGTGGGGGGGGGGGGGGGGCTGGAGGTGTGGGCGGAGGAGGATGGCGTAGGCAAGAGGATGAGGTGTGGGCAGGAGGAGGATGAGGTGTGGCATAGTGGGGAGGATGGGCGAAATGGGGGAGGAGGAGGAGGAGGAGGGGGGAGGAAGGAGGAGGAGGAGGAGGGGGAGGAGGAAGTATGGGCAGGAGGATCGGGTGTGGGAGGAGGAGGAGGAGAAGGAGAAGGTCGGGGAGGAGGAGGATGAGGATGGGGAGGAGGAGGGGTAAGTAATAGGGGGGATGCAGGACGATTGGAAATAATGAAAGACGGGATTCTGATGATGAGCATCCTCCCGATGAGGATGAGGATGACGATGCGGACTTGGATGCTGATGATGATGCTGTTGATGCTGTTGATGCTGATGATGCTGATCATGATTGTGATCATGATGAGGATGCTGCTGCAGATGATGGTGATGATGACGAGGGCGATGCTGATTATGATGATGATGGCTATGATACTGATGATGCTGATGATGATGCTGGTGATGATGACGACGATGCCGATGGTGTCGATGATGATGCTGCGGATGACGCTGACGAGGACGATAGCATGGCAATGCTGGTGAGGAGGATGATGACACTTGCGGTGGTGATGTTGATGCTGATGATCATGGTGATGATGAGGATGATGAAGAGAAGTATCATAATGACGCGTATGATTATGTTAATGTAGATTATGGTGATGCTGATGATGCTGCCGGTGAATATGATGGCGAGCACGATCAGGAGGATGATGCTGCTGATGATCGTGATGATGGGGAAGACAATGCTGATTCTGATGATGACGATTATAATGAGTGTGCTGCTGATGATGATGATGCTGGTGATGATGATGTCGATGACGATGATGCCGATGCTGATGCAGCGGGTGATGATGACGATGACGATGATATGGCGATACTGATGAGGATGATGATGACGACGGTGGTGGTGGTGCTAATGCTAGTTATGATTCTGAGGATGCTGGAGGTGCTGATGGCGATGATGCTGATGCTGATGATGATGCTGATGCTAATTATGGTGCTGCTGATGATGATGCTGATTATGATGATGGTTCGGATTATCATAGAAAAATATAGATGATGATGCCTCTGCTTATGATGAGTATGATGCGGATGATGATGATGATGATGATGATGATGATGATGATGATGATGATGATGATGATGATGATGATGATGATGATGATGATGCTGATGATGACTACGATGATGATGAGGAGGAGGAATCAGCCTCGGTCGTGGTCACTGGACAGACCGATTCGCAGGGAACGGGCCCGCAGGTAGAGGACCAGGAGGAGGAAGAAGGGCGGAGGAGGAGGAAGAGGAGGAGAGCAGAGGAGACTGGAGACGCAACACGAGCACGCTTGCGCCATATCTGACATCAAGCCCTTCCCTTTGTGCTGACTTCTTGGTTGGGCTCTCCTGGAGGACATTGATCCCGCGATGGGCCCCACCGTGTGATGCGCAACCAGCAATCATACGCAATGGGGTAGTTGCACATTGGAGGAGGGTGGAAAGAGGCGGCGGCAACGACGAGGAACTTGTCGTATCCAGAAGCGTGGCCGGCGCTGGGGTGGAAGCGCTAATCTGAATGACGGGAGCAAATCGCCAATATTTGAAGGTGGATCCCGCTGCAGCTGGAACGCAATTTTTGAAGGACCGAGAAAGTCTCGATTTTCAAACGCATCGGACATATTAAGCAATGGGATCCTGCGTGGGGTACAAAGAGGCGACCGCGGCGACACTGGACCAGTTCATGGGGCACAGGAGGTTAGTACTCACAGTGGGTAGTCGTAAAGAGGCGAGGGGGGAGGGGGAGGAGTGGGAGGAGGAGGAGGAGGAGGAGGAGGAGGAGGAGGAGGTGGAGGAGGAGGAGGAGGAGGAGGAGGTGGAGGAGGAGGAGGAGGAGGCGGCGTTGGTGGAGGAAGGGGGGGAGGCGGTGGTGGTGGTGGAGGAGGAGGACGACGAGGAGGACGTGCCCCGAGGTGAAGCGCGGGATGGGCGCCGTCGCCAGATGCGTCCACATGGCCCTGCTGAAAGCTGGGGCGTTCAGGCCTCCGACGGGGGCCTTCAGGAGCCAGGGGGCAGCCCAGCCTATAGTCGGGGCCTTTGGCTTAGCGTGCCGCGCCACCAGTTATGGCCAACCACCCTTCGGCCCGACAGGCTATCCACGTCCCAGTCCCCAACCACGCGTCAAGATCCCGAGGCTTTCCAAGCCTCTCGCCCCGCGGAGCGGAACGACACGCCATCCACTCGCACGGCATGGCGTTTCGCCGGGGCCGCCGCGGCGACACGCTGAGCAGAAGTTCCCGACCGTAGCCCCGCCATCTGCTTCAGGGCACTGCGCCCGAAGGCAGAGCACTGGAAAGCAACCCTCCGCCCCTGGTCCTTCCTCTTCCTTCCTCCTCTCTGCTGCCTCCTCACTCCGCGGCCCTCGGTCCTCGGGTCGGGGCGGTTGGTGGCGAAAGTGGTAATTCATCGCGCCACTCAGCCCACCCCACTGTGCGCGAGAACAGCGACACGCTTCATCCGACGTTCGACGACGACGACGACGACGACGACGACGACGACGACGACCTCCGACGGGGGTGCGGAGGCAGGGGCCTGGGGGGGGTGCGGGGGCGGCCACGCCCCTCGTGGCGGCGGGCACTTGATCGCATGTGCTGTGGGATCTTCCCAGCCCTTTCCCCGAGCCTTTCCCTGCTCCTCGGGGGCCCCGCAATCGAGTTTCACCGTTCTCGGCCGTTTTCGAATGTTCCAGCCTCGGGATGCTTTCCAGCACCTGCGCCTCGCCGAGAGCTTTCTTTGGGTGCCCGTATTGCCCCGAGCGACCGCATGCGGCACGAGCTACGACCCGAAAGCCACCAGACGCCGAGGGTCCCCAAGCAGGGCGGTGGCCACACCGTGTGATGAGTCAGTGGGGATCCGCGGTGACCGCACGGTCTCGGGGCTCGGGTCGCTCTCCAAGGGTGCCTCGGGCGGCTGGGGCCTCCAGGTTCCCAACGGACCGTGCGGTGAGGTCTTTGGGGAGGTGGAGGTCGCCGCGCGGTGTGCCACCGCACCTTTCTAGGGCCCTCAATGGTCGCACCCAGTGCGTATGTAGCAGAGCGCCACCAAAGTCCCACCTCCCACGGATTACGTCGCCGCGGGGAGAACAATTAACATGTCCCATCTCCAACGGCGATGGCGACGACGTCCAGGAGCATGGTGGAGGAGCTCACTCCGTGCATGGTGGAGCTCCGCGCCTTCCGCAAGACGTCCTTGCGGGCGACGCCCACCAATCTGACGAACCTCTGGCACCAAGGGAACGCCAAGTGTCGACCTGCCCAGACCCTCGCCATTCCGATCTTGGCTCCCGGATCGGTTTCTTTTTTTGTCTCCCCTCTGTGTGTATATGTAAGTACATACACCAGCACACATTTTACACGTGAGTGTTTACAGGTATAGATATTGTAGTGCTTTCACACACACGCACATCTACATATACAAGACTGCATTGGCGCTTCGCGCCATGCGTTCCGGACGCCTCCCGGCAAAGCAATAGATCATCGTTTGCTTCAGCACCACTCCTCATGGGAGGAGGTAAAGAGAAAAGTTTCGTCTGGCTTTTTATTTGCCACCTCCAGGTTTGTCCCTACCCATCCCTTCCTCCTCTTTTCCTCCTCTGCCTCCTCCTGTGGTTGAGTCCATCATTAGAGGAAGTAAGAAGCGTTCCCATGACATGCCGAAGAAATCGCAGCAGCTCCGAACAATCGATTTTTGGTCGTTTCCTGAATGCTTGGAGGGCCCCAGGCACTTAGGAAATCTTCGATCGTCGAACTTCGAGTCTAAATCCGTTGCCTGTTTTGTTTCTTTCGGTCGAGGAATTGAAACCTCGAGCCTCAAGCATGGAACCAAGATCGTCGGGTTAGTTCGACGTACTTCGTAGGAAAACGCCGTTTGGTTGTTTTTGGCACTGTTTTTGGCCGTCCTGGAGCCCTCTTGGGCCGTCCTGGGGCCTTTTTGGGCCGTCTTGTGGAGCTGGGGCCTTCCAGAGGTCTTCTGAAGCCATCTCGGGCCCTCTTGGGGGCCTCCAGTGGCCTTTTTGGGGGTCTCCCATGGCTTTCGTGGGTCTCTTTGGGGAGCCTTCTGGGGGCATCTTGGGTTTCTTGTGGGCAGTCTCGGGGCTCGCTTTGGCAGTCTTGGGGGCCCTCTTGGGCCGTTTTCAAACCCTCTGGGGGGCCTCTTGGGCCGTGTTGGGGCGATGTCGGGGGCCGTCTTAAACGTTGCGAAGGCCCCAAAAACGAATATATCAAACATACACATTATCCGAAGGGGCTGTGGCGATTTCTGCTTCTTCGGGGCTGTCTTACCTGCCTCTTGGGGCGTCTTGCGGGCTTCTTGGGCCGTCTTCAGACCATCGAGGTTCCTCCTGGAGCGCTCTAGTGCTGTCTTGAGTCTCTCTTGCGCCTCTCCGATGACCCTTCTGATCGCCTTGAGTCTGTTCGCAAGGCCTGGCAAGGCGCCCTGGGAAGCCCGGAAGGACCAGTTGACCTTTTTCCAAGGGCGTCCAAGGGGGCCGCCGAGACGTCCGAAAGGGCGCCTGGGGCGTCCCGGGGGGGGGGGGGGGGGTCCGGTTTGGGGGTGGGGGGGTGGGGTGGGCTGGGGGGGGGGGTCCGGGTAAGAAAAAAGTAAGAACAGGAATCTGCAGATGTATATGTGTACCTATCTGTATATATGCACACACATATTTACATGTGTATATCTCGATGGGTTATTGTTCGACTTGCCGGGGCGAGCCAGTCGTTTAGTGATTACTGAAACCTAAACGTGTATCGGGTTTGATGTATCGGGTTCGAGTTCGAATTTAATTGAATATGAGCTCCGTCTGTATTCCATCGTGCTGAAAAGAGTTGAATCTGGTAGCGGGGCTGGATTCGCTGCAATTCCCCGTCCCGAGTGCCCCGATAGCAGCCGGGCCCGCGATAGCTCCCTTCGAACGGTGGGCCAGAGCAGTAAGACGGATACACACGCATGCTCTAAGCAGGGCTGGATACGAGTTGGCGGTGAGGGCGCCTGGACGTCCTGGGTGTTGAATAATATCGGGATTGCTCGCTCTAAGTGCCAATTGAACAGCGTGAAGGAGAGGCGCGAAAAGTGCTTCGGTTTCAAGTATGGCGCTGAACCAATACACGTTCAACGAAAACCGAAACGCAATCGGCGGAACGCAGCACTAAGGCAACAAACGCAACAAGCTGGAGGACCTGAGATCATCCGGCAACTTGGCGAGGTTGTGGAGGGACTCGCGTGCACCGCCACATTCGTCATGCAACCCGCAGCTGATCCAGGCGAAGGACGTCGGCATGCCGCAGGCTGCCAAGAACGAGGCGTCAAAGTTCGGCGAGTGGCTGCAAAACACAACATGTCTGTGCTCGGCGTTGCCGGGGTGAACTTCAAGCCGGTGATCGAGTGGGCGGTCGACCGGGCGAACGACTCGATTGTGCTCGCTGCGGCCGCGGCCGCGGCACAGTTTGTGGGCGAGGCCATAGAAGGAGGGAGGTCGACGCTGTGGACAATAATCTCTCCCAGCTTTATGCGGTGTTCGCTTCGCTCGCGGAGGGCAAGTGGTTCGACTTGGCGGTCGGCGCCGGGCAAGGCAATTGGGCGGGGGCCCTGCGATTGCTGGCGCGCCGTTGGGGCCCGACCCATCGCGGCGCCTACCAGGGCCGCGAAGCTGGAGAGCATGGCTGGCGAAATCGACCAGTGGGAAGAGCTGGCCAGGCGCCGCGAGCGACGACGAGCTGACGGGCGCGACGCGCGCCTCGACGACGAGATCAAGATGGGCGCGCTCGAGAGCCTCGTTCCGCAGGACGTGGAGATGCAATTGGCGTTGACTCGTGCCCGGCCCCGGGAGTGCACGTCGATGCGCGAGGGGGCGCGCAGCTTCCTGGGGGCCCAGCAAGCTCAAGGGGCCATCGGCCGAGCAGGGCGAGATCCGATGGAGGTCGACGCATTCGCCAAGGGCGGCCACGGCAAGGGCGAAGGCAGCAAGGGCCAAGGCAGATACATCAAGAGCAAAGGCCGACCACAGGGGAATCAGGCGAACGAGCCGAACGCGACGCGCTGGAATTGCGGGCGGAAATGTCATCGAGGCGCAGAGCCCAGGGGGCATAAACAAGACAAAGGGCAAGGCAATAACGAGGGCAAGGCGTACAACGTGGAAGGGAATGGTCAACGTCGCCATGGTGGAGCTAGCCGGGGCAGTCTCCACTATTCTCAGAAGACGACTTGCAGCGTCAGCGCGCAGCTGCCCCCCATGGCATCGCGGGCCGGAGGATGCCGCCAAGCAGCCCCTGCCCTGAGGTTCGAGGCCTCCGAGCGCGTCCACCACCTGGGCGGCGTCGAGGGCGAGGCCGAGAAGCACTGCCGCAACATCGTGGCGATGACCCGCGGCGCTGGGATGTCAGCTCCAATCGCGCGGCCGCGGGCGAGGTCGTCGAGGGCGAGGGTGGTGCCGGCGTCAACGGGGTGCCCGAGTGCGGCAAGCGCATGCCCATGAAGGGCAGACGCGCGAACGTCGGGGGGCCGCTCCTGTCAGCCTCGGCCATCGCCGCCGAGGGCCGCCGCGCCTGGCTCGGCGCCTTCGGCCCTTCGGTGGCCACGTCCTGAAGGAGAGCGAGTTCGCGGAGGAGATCCACCAGGTGATCGACCAGTGCGTGGCCGAGGAGAACGAGGGCATCGCGCCGCTGTGCTTGCGTGGCGGGGTCTACGAGATGGACGCGCTAATGGGCGCTCCGCGGCTGGCTACCCCCGCGGGATCAGCGGCGCGCGACCTTTCGCCCTGAGCGCGAGCGAGCGCGGACTCTCGGCGACAGGCTGCGTTTGCGTGGGGGGCGCCTCGCAGCCGCTGGGCGCGCCGGCGCCGGGGCCGCCCGCGGGGCCGCCGGCGCCGGCCGCGGGGGGTCGAGATCCCGCCCCCCGCGACGCTGAAGAAGGCGAGGAGATCAAATGTTGCGAAGACTACGATGGCAACCCTGAGGGTTGCTCCGGGCAGAGTTCTCGGGCGCATGAGGTTGCCGGCCATGGCCGAGCTCGAGCAGCGCGAGGCCGCTTGTCATGCGGCATTTTGATACTGGCGCGCAGCTAGCAGCTCGGCTCTGGCACTCGGGCAGCAGCGCGAACTTCGAGGCGAACGACGCGGAAGCGCGCGCCCAGTCGCCCATCGACATCGCGTTCATGGGCGAGGAGACAGGCGAGAGCGAACAGGTTCGCGCTGGAGGCCAAGCTCTGTGACAAAGCGGACGATTCGCATCCCATACTGAAGTGGCTACCCCGCTGCGCCGCGGCCTGCCTTGGCCGACGCCGAGGCGGAGCTGGCGGTCTCGCTGCAGCGCAACGGGGACCTGGCCGCGACTGGGGGAAGTTGGACGCGGAGCTCGGCGAGCGGGCGATGCGCGGGCCGCTCGCACCAGGAGGCCGCAGGAGCACCGTGGAGGAGCGCGCGACGCCTGGGAACTTCATGGGCCATCACGGGAATGCAGGGGCCCCGCCCGTCACGACTGTCGACGTGGCGGGAGAGGCCCGAGGTTTCAAGAAATTGCGGAGCAGGCCTGGGGCGGCAAGGACTGGGACGCGCTGCGAGGCGTTCCCTGGGCGACCCGCCCAGATGACGAGGCGCCCGCCGTCGCGAGGGCGCCGGCGACGGCTGCCGCGGGGGCCGGGCCGCGCCGCGGCGGGCCCCCTGGGGCGCCCCGGGCTGACGCGCAAGGGCAATGCGACGAATGCCAGCGACGAGGAGTGCCGCGAGAGAATCGCAGAGCAGATGATGGAGGGCCCTGGGGACAGGGCCCGAGTTTCCGAGAACCACTTTCGAGCTGAGGGCCATCTAGCACCTGGCCGCCGCATTCGAGGTCGAGCGGCATCTGGCGGGGGCCAAGCTGCGCTGCCCCCGCCCGCCGTAGACGGGGCCGACGCTCTGGCCCGAGAGCCGAGGGGCGCCGCAATGGCGGCGGCGCCGCCGGCGGAAGCTCTTCGAGCGCCGGTGAGAAGCGCCGAGCAGCTGCATTCGATCTTGCGCGAGCTACCCGGATCCGAGGAGATGCGCCCGAAGGGCCGGCAGCTGGTGTTGCCGGCGAACGCCTCGCACTCCGGCGATGGGGCGCCGGCTGGGCAGACGCAAATGCGCGTGGAGGACTCGGTGGATGCGCCCATGCCCCAGGCATCGTCGCCGAGCTCAGCGTCGGCGTCGGCGCTGGCGTCGGCGTCGAGCCGAATCCGGCGCAGGGCCCTGCGATGGGCGCTGACATGCTGGTCAAGCCGAACGGCGGCGACTAGTCTGGCATGTTCGCCGCGGTCTACAGGGCGGTCGCAATCGAGATGCGCGAGTTCGCTCGCGTCGAGGGGGGCGACTTGGACTCGGAGCAGGCGGGGGAGAGATACTGCGCCGCTACATGTCGAGATGTGCGCAGCGGATACTCCAGAGATGCATTCGCCGAGAAGGTTTGCCGAGAAGGGCGTTCAGGCATGGCCTGGCGCCCGGCCCAGCGGTGGACATCGAGACTGGCCGGGGTCCACGATTGCCAGAGAAGCGGAAGACATGTGAGAAGCAGCGGGAAGACGACGACCCGTTGCAGATGATCACTAGCCTTCCGTGGTCGCCATTCACCAACCTGCGCAAGTTCTCGGATCGGGAGCGCGGCCCAAAGATCGTCGAGGCAGAAATCCAGGAGGGCGAGACTTACCACATTTCAAGCGTGGAAATCTGCAAGGGGCGCCACGTGGCGGGGATGCTATTCCTTCGCGAAACACCTTGGTCAGCAATCAGCTAGTGCCGCCCCGGCGTTCAGGAGGTTATCGGGTTGGCTAACGTGCACTTAGTCCATGGACTTCTTTGGTCTGTCTCGCGCAGGCGAATGGTCCCGATGGGAAGTCGGGCTTCGTTCGACAGGGGGCCGGGTGGCTCGCCGACGGCGAGCTGCTCGCGAACGCCCTCGAGGGCTATTGCGAGTGCCCCAGAGGTCCGTATGGAGAGATTCCTCGCCGCGTTCACTTGGTCGATGGGCGAGCCGATGTCTTCCCGGATTGGCGGCAGCTATGCTTAAAGGCTTGCGAGGAAAGCTTCGGCGACGCGAAGGCCCTGCTGCCGTGGCGGCTCTTTGTGGAGGACCTCAACCGCTCGAAGAAGGCGCAGGGTTGTTCGCTGACTACCAGGGCGAGTACTTCATAGACGATCTCACGGGGGACGTTCTCGATTCCGAGGGCGCCCAAGCTGCGGCGCAGGAAGGGCTAGGGTGGCGCCGCGGAAGGCAGGCCCGGGTGAAGGCGCCTAGACAGGATATGCTCAAGAAGGCCAAGGCGCCGATCACCCTGAAGTGGACCAGCGCGAACATGGGCGAACGAACTTAACCGCGATACCACTCGAGGCCGAGGAGATAAATGATGCGATGGAGGTCAGACGACCGACCTGATCAACGCGAGCTGTGATCGGCCATGCATCCGCTGGAGGCGTTTTTGGCGATGATGGCCATCTTCGCGGGGCGCGCAAACGACGCCCGCCACGATGGCGACGGCGAGGAGATTATCTACAAGTTCCATGACATTTCGAGGGCGCACTTCTATGGGGACGTGAATCGCGACGCGCGCGTGGAGCTTTCCGAGGAAGAGACATAGGGCGACCCAGAGCCGATTGTTGGCGGGCAACTTGAGACAATGTACGGCGCGGTCGACGCAAGTCGCGTCTGGCAAGACGATTGCATCGGCCTGGCGAGCTCGCGTGGCTCTCAACAGCGCGCCGGTCTGGAATCCGCTCGAGCGCTCTGCGCACTTCGAGGCGGGCGCCCGGCGCGCGAGAAAGGTGATCAGGGACCTGGGCCCGGAGAGCGCGAAGGAGGTCACAGCGCTGGCTGTTAAGAGGTCGGCGTCGGAGGCGCCGAGCGACGGTCGCGCCTCTTCGAAGCTGAAGGGCGAGAAGGCCAAGACCTACCGCGGCGTGGCCATGGGGGTCATGCGCCAGAGCATGGACAGGCCCGACATCAGTTATGTCGCGGTCGCGCGGGCCAGGCGCGCGAAGGGGCCGAACGGGGCCGACGTGGAGGGCCTCGAGAGGGGCGGACGCTGCTTGAAGAAGTACCCTGCTAGAGAGTTGCCGTTTCCCGTCCAAGAGCTGCCCGAGAAGGCGCGCGTGCGCTGCGGCGGCGACTGCGCGGGGGATCCGATCACGAGACGTTCGAGAAGCGGAATGCCAATGCCATGGGGATCGCACTGCTGATGCACGGCAGCGCGGTCCAATGCGCTGGTGGTTTGAGCAGAGGCGAAACTGAGTGCTATTCCTTGATGCGTGGATCCTGCCGCAGCTTTGGACCGCAGGCAACGCTGGCAGACCCGGGGCTTGACTTGGGCTGCGAGATGGAACAGTATGTTTCCAGCGCCAGTTCAGCTGCCGCGTGGATAGCACGCCGACAAGGACTCGGAGCTGCTCGACGCCTGGATGCGCATGTTCTTTGGCTGCAAGAGCGAATCCAGAGCAAGGGGCTTGTGCTGCAGACAGTCGAGGGTCACTGGGATCCAGCCGGCCTGTTCACGATGGCACTTGGCCAAGACGCGATGAGGCGGTTGGTGAAGCTCATCGACTGCACGATGAAGGCCGACGGTCGCGAGAAACACCGCCGGCAATGATGGCGTTGGCCGTTTGCCAGCGCTCTTGTCATGGAGAGATCAGGCTGCTGGTCCTTTTGGCGTTCGCCCTCCGCCCCCGACCGCTCGCGGCGCCGAAAGCCGAGGAGGGATGTCGGTCTTCCCGGGGACGAGCCAGTAGTTCAGCGATCGCGCAAAACCTAACGTGTTTCGGGTTCGAAGTAGATTCGGGTTGAAGAGAGAGAGAGAGAGAGAGAGTGATAGAGAGAGAAGCAGAAAGTTGGATTGAGCCGGAGTTCCGTCTGTAGTCCATCGTGCTCAAACAAGCTGAGGATGTTGCGTATGCTTACGCATGTGGGGGCATCTAATGTACGTGTTTGTGTACGTATGCATGCACGTATGTAGGTATGTATGTTTGTTTTTTTTGTCTCCTTGCCAGTCTGTCAGTATGTTTCTCTGTCGGTCTTTCTGTCTATCGGTCTGTCTGTCTGTCTGTCTGTCTGTCTGTCTGTCTGTCGGTCTGTCTGTCTGTCTGTCTGTCTGTCTGTCTATTATTTCTGTACGCGTGCGTGTGTATGTATGTATGTATGTACGTATGTACGTACGTATGTATGTATGGATGTATACATATATGTATAGGTGTATGTAAGCAGGTACATATATAAATGTACATGGGTGTGTGCATAACTTGTGCGCGACAGTGCGAAGGCAGCCGCGCTTCGCGCCTCGCGCGGCACTTCGCGCGAGGTTGGCCGACCCGGCCTCCTGTCTGGGCCACGGGGGCGGACCAACCGATCTGCGGGCCAGGACCAGCCTGGTCAGGGCCTGGAGTGGGCGTATCACATTGGCGTCCTGCCAGGCCCGTGGAGCCGGTTGAGGGCATTCGCGAGGCTTGGGGAGGGGGGCGAGGAGGAACAGGAGCAGGAGGAGGAGGAGGAAAAAATGGAGGAGGATGAGGAGGAGGACCAGTGTCAACCCACGACGTTTCAAACATGTTACAATGTATTCGCCCTTCAAGTTCCCCCCCCGTAGGTCCCTACAAGAATTCATTCCCCAAGCAGTATTTGCATTTCGGGGTTCTCATTGCACTCGTAATAACTGGGCCTGGTTGCCAGTTCAGCTGCCTTATGGCCGCCTCGTCGCCACCTCGTCTCCGCCCGTCGCCGCCCGTCGCCTGGACCTGGTTGCCGGGTTGCCGCTTCTGCCGCATTGTGGCCGCTTCGTCGCCGCGTTTTCGCCGCCCGTCGCCACGCGTCGCCTGGGCCTGGTTGCCGGTTCCGCCGCCTTGTGGCCGCCTCGTCGCCGCCTCGCTTCCACCCGTCGCCACATATATGGCACCACGTCGATTTTTGTTTCAGAAAGGAGTTCGTATCTACCACAACCCCTCGGGGCGGGATTCTCTGCCCGCCCTGGGTATGCGCAATTTACATACGATTCTGCCCCATCGATCAGTGTACATCTGAATACATACCATCCCAGCCAAGCTGCGGTATCGCACCCCCTTCATCCGTTGCAGAAGAACAAAATGCGCGCCAGTCGTTTATCACAAATCAGCAATGTTCGATACTCCCTGGCAAGCAATGGGACGACGTGCGTACACAAACCTTAGGTTTCGCATGGCTTTCATAATTTAGTTTCCCCAAATCGTATGCCCCCCCAAAAACGCTTGGTTCTGTACCCTGTTTTTTGTTCACAGGTCTGCGCGCGCTCATGCGAATTCAGAAGACAAACCGTGTTTTTTTTCAACATGTTCGTCAAACTCGACCAAACGGACCTCTAGCGCGCATGTCGGAATATTTCGATCGCCCTGGTGCGCGTGCTGGGGGGCACGATCTTCGTCAACTTGTGCAATACGGGCCACTCGCGCGCGTCGGCCGCGCGCGCATGTCGAAATCCTTCCAAAACCTTCATCACCGACGCGTGGGCACCATCATCGTCATCGGCGTGATCAGCATCAGCGCCTTCAGTGGCGTTGCCGTCGTCATCGTCATCCTCGTCACCAGCATCGATACAATCATCATCGTGCCTTCCTTTTTTTCGACGTCGCCATGGTACCGCGCCCGCCCGAGCCAACGACTCGCACTGAAGTGCCCGCGCGTCTGCGCGGCGTGTGAGACGCGCTGGGAAGCCCCCAGCGGTCAGCGCCACCGCGGCCGCGTCGGTCGCACCATATTCGTTGGTCGCTCTGCACGCAAGCCTGCGCGCGCAAACGCGGCCGCAGCGATGCGCCAGCAATCGCCAAGGAGCCATCGCAATCGCCGCCGCGGGGCTTTTGCAGACCAGGTTGCGGGTGGGCGGGTGGGATGATTGCGCGAGCACTAGAGTTGACAACTCGCTAGTTAGCGCATGTTAATTTCCCGTCCTAAGGAAACAAAGCTCGGATCTATCACCCCCCGAAGGCAGGATTATCCGCCCGCCCTGGGGATGTGCAGTGTACATGCGATTCTGCCCGCTCGTTCATTCACGCTGTGCATTCGTACCAGCCCAGCCAAACCGGTATCGACCCCCCGACGCCCTTTGCAAACGCATTACCTATGCGCGCCAGCTGGTTCATCGCAAATCAGAAATTTCCAAGAGCCCCTTGCAACAGATGAGACGAACTGTACACGCGCACGTCGTCGCGCGCGCATGCCGAAGTCGCTACAACATACCTACGGCGTGGCAGGAACTTCAGCATCGCGTGTCCCGACATCATATACAACAGCACGTGGTTTTGCAAAACGGCTTTCCATGACAAAGCTCTGCGCGAGCGCTCTTGCGAATTCTTAAAACAACCATAGGAGTCCCAGGAGTTTTGTCAAACTCGACCAAACAGGCCTTTCGCGCGCGCATGTCGAAATCTTTCGAACGAAAATTGCGCGCGTGCTGGGTTGGGGGCGGGGGGGGGGTCACGATCCCTTTCAAATGTTGTCATGCGGTCCACTCGCGCGCGTCGGCCGCGCGCTTGTCGTATTCCTTACGGAACTTGCATCACCGACGCGTGAACACCATTCTTATCATCGGCGTGGTCAGCATCGGCGCTGTCATGGGCCCTGTCGTCATTGTTATCGTCGTCACTCGCATCGCTGCAATCATCATTGTGTCTGCCGTTAGCGACGTCGCCATGGTACCGCGCCCGCCCGAGCCAACGACTCGCACTGAAGTGCCCGCGCGTCTGCGCGGCGTGTGAGACGCGCTGGGAAGCCCCCAGCGGTCAGCGCCACCGCGGCCGCGTCGGTCGCGCCACACTGGCGGGCCGCTCTGCGCTCGAGCCTGCGCGCGCAAGCGCGGACGCAGCGATGCGCAAGCCAGCGCCAGGCACAATTGCCGCCTCCTGGGCTTTTGCAAGCCAAGTGGCGGGGGGGTGGGATGATTGCGCGAGCAGTGATGGAAGTGACAATTCAGCCCACCCAAAAAACATTGCACCACGTCGATGGCACCACATAGATCTTCCTTTTCTAACGAAAGGAATTCGGATTCCCCTCCAGGTTATCCGTTTCCCGTGGGGATATGCAAATTACATACGATTCCGCCCCATCGTGCAAGATAAGTACGACGTCGCACCATCCCAGCCAGGACGGCACTGACCCCCTTTTTCATCCCCTGCAGACAAAAAAAAACGCTATGCGCGCGCATTCTTTATCACAAATCATCAATCTGCAGGAATCCCTGGAGAGGGACGGGACGAAGCGCACACGCGCGCGTCGTCACGCGCGCAGTCCGAAATCTTTCCAAAACACGCATGTAAGGATTTTAAAACCGAGCGGCCCGAACACAGCAGAAAACGTTCTTTTGTCTTTGACATGTTTTTTGTTCACAAGTAATCGCGAGCTACAGCGAATTCTTGAGGTGCCTTCGCCGGTGACGCACGCCCCTTGCGTGGGGGGGACTCTGGTTCAGTTTCCCCGCCGCCCTCCCCAAAACAACGGGGCTGGGCTTTGAGCTCCCTGGCAGCCCAAAGCAACGACTCAAGAGGGCGGCGGAATGGGTGAAACGCAAAAAACGTCGGGGAGGAGGGGGAGAGGGAGCGGGAGGAGGGGGCGAGGGAGGATGATTGCCACCCTGAAGCATTTCCTTACCCCTATGAATGGCATCGCCCTATCTCGACGCCGATCTTAAGGACCCCCTCAGTTTCTTAGGGCGCATCCCTGAGATTGCCAGCGCGCTTACCAATATCAGGGATATGGGTAAGCTCAAGGCTGATTAGATGATGAGGGGAAGGGGGGCAATGCGACGACGGCGACAGCGACGGCGACGGCGACGACGACGACGACGCCGCAGGCGACGACGACGACGACACCGACCAGCGACGACGACGCCGACGACGCCGACGACGATGACGCCGACGACGACGCCGACGCCGACGCCGACGCCGACGCCGACGCCGACGCCGACGCCGACGCGGACGACGACGCCGACGACGACGACAACCACGACGACGACGGCGGCGGCGACGGCGACGACGACGACGACCAGCGACGATGACGACGACGGGGGCGAGGAGGGAGGGCGAGAGCGGAAGCAGCACCAGGAGGAGCATGTGCCCAGGGCGCCCTCTGTCGTCGCCGGTCGCCGCCGCCCTCCTCCCGCTCCTGCCCTCTGCCACCCTCCTCCCCCCATCCTCCTCCTCCGCCCTCATCCTCCTCCTCCTCTTCATCCTCCTCCTCCTCCTCTTCCTCCTCCTCTTCCTCCTCCTCCTGCTTCTCCTCCTCCTCCTCCTCCTCCGCCCCCTCCCCGCCCTCCCTCCCTCTGGCCTCCCTCGTGCCTCCCTGCTCCCTTTCTGCCTCCCCGAGAGGCCTGCAGGCTGGACGCCGCCAGGTCGTGCCCCGGCATGGTGGGCGCGGAACTGACCGCGTGCCTCAGGCCAGCGCACCTCGGGGGTGGGGGTGAGGAGGAGGGGGGGAGTCAGCAGAAGGGGCGAGGAAGGGGAGGGGCGAGGAAGGGGAGGGGCGATGAAGAGAGGGGGAGAGCGAGGAGGGGGCAGGAGCGAGGAAGGGGTGATGGGCGAGGAGGGGGGAGGGGCGAGGAAGGGGAGGTATTCTGACTTCTTGGGCCTCCTGAGCGGCCCTCGTCACCACCGCTGGGTCCTCCTCGAACTTCTGACCGGAGCGCACCCTGGGAAAGACCTGGGGAGTAGCGGTATCGGTACCGTTCTGTTCCTCTAGAGGAGGATGACCCAGACACCCTAGCGTCGTGAAAAGCACGACAGAAGGCGTTTGGCTATTTAGGGAGGAACGATAGGGGTGATCATATCTACACAAATGTAATGCCAAGACGACCTCTCTGCATTCCCTCGCACCTCTTCCCCGCACAGACCCCAGACCGCGTGCCTCAGCCTCGAGGGAGGGGGCGAGGAGAACGAGGGGGATCAGGCAGCAGAAGTTGGAGCCGGCTGGCTATGAGGAAATTCCTGGTGGGCTCGAGCGGCTCGAATGTGCTGTATTAAATAGTCTGTACGCCCACTCCGTCAGATACGTGACGACGTTCTTTGGGCGATGTTCCGACGGAAGTCCGACGTACATCCGAAGTGATTTTGACGTGAATCCGTAGTGTTCCGACGGGAACTCGACGTATATCCGACGTACGGTCGGACCGCGGTGTAAGATCGAGGTCGGTTCGGGGAGGGTACCCTGATGTTCTTCGTGTTTGATGGATGTTCTTGTGCATTCTGAGGGAGAGTACCCTCGAATCTTCGGCAGTTTGGCCGGCGGAGAGTCTCACGCTTTTGAAATATGTCCTTCTGTCCTAGGTCCGGCAGGAGGTCCGACGTGCCTTGAGTTTCAAGATGCCGCGCGAGGCCGCCAGGATCTTTCTCAGAGGTTTGGGGGCCGAGGTGGCCCAGCACTGGTTCCAGCCCGCAGACCCGGGGGGATATAGTGGGCCCCCTCGTCGCGCCACGGCCCGGCGAGGCTCGGACAACTGGTCAGTGTTCGCCCCTGGGGGAGGGGGATACCAGCAGAAGGTGCGAGGAGGGTCGAAATAGATAGCATCTGCATACGGTAGGTTCGCGTCGTGTCGACCGGCGGCGACCCCGCCGCCGCCGTTCAACGTTGAACGTCGCAAGCGACCCAGAGTCGGACGATATTGAACGATCGGACGTTTCGGAAATTGCCGATCTTTCAAGATTGAACGATCCCCGCGGTGGCAGGAACCACCACCGCAGTCGACCCGACGCGGACATGCCGTACAATTTAAGCATACTTTCTCGGGGATCCGCGCGGATTTCTTGGATCGGCGCTGGGTCCCCCCTGGCAGCGCCTCTGGCGCCGCCCCTGGCGCGCTCCGCGCTCCAGGGACGGGGGCTTAGAGCCGATCCAAGAAATCCGCGTGGACCTTTGATCAAACTTTACGTATGCAATTATTTTTTTGATGTCGGAGCAGGGCGAGGACGATGGCAGAGGAGTCAAGGAAGGGGAGGGCACGACAGAAGGTTTTATTTAGTGTTTTCGGCCTCTGGGGGCCGTCGCCAGGCCCCAGGGCTGTCAAGCACTGCTCAGGATGAAAAGCCAGTCCCGGGAAACACCACCGCCACCGGGGATCAACATACCGAAACGACAATGACGACATCGGGGGTCTGGGGAGGAAGGATCAGTAGAATGAGGACGCTGTTCAGAATTTGCATATGTACATCTCTAGATCTAGATTTACCTACGCAATTTCTGGTGCGGTGGTGTGGAGGGGATTAGGAAGATGAGGGGGCTCAGCAGAAGGATTTTTCAATATGTGCATGCCTCAGCATACCTGGTGCGGTGGTGTGGAGGGGGCCAGGATGGGGAGGGTGATCAGTAGAAGGCAGATGATGCTCAACATGTGCATGCCTCGGCACACCTGGTGCGGTGGTGTGGCGGGGACGGGGAAGAGGAGGGGAATCAGCAGGACGAGGACGATGTTCAACATTTGCATGCCTTAACGTACGTACCTGGTGCGGGGGTGCGGAGGGGACGAGCAAGAGAAGGGGGATCAGCAGAATGAGGACGATGTTCAATCTTTTCATGTCTCAGCATGCCTGGTCCGGGGATGTGGATGGGGGGGTGGAGGGGCTGTGAACTGGACCGTGCCCCGTAACTGCACGCACGGTGTGCGTACGGCTTCAGCTGAAGGCCGTCTCTCTTCGTTCTTTATTGGCACGTTGGTGCGTGGACGTCGTTCAGAAGTGCTCTGTGGAGGATGGTGAGAGGGGGAGATGATGAGGATGATGGTGAGGATGGATGGTGGCGGTGCTGATGGAGCCAGTGATGGTGGTGATGATGAAGAGGTGGAGGAGGATGGCGAAGACGCAGACGAGGGGGAGGGTTCGAGCTGGCCAGCTCGAGCGAGCCGGCCAGGTCCGCCCACTCCGGCCCTCCCGTGACATGGGAGCCAATGCCGGCGCAGCTCGAGGTTGGGATTGGCACGCGCGGCCACCCAGCGAGCGGAAGGCGCTCGCGCGAGCGCGGGGCCACGCCTCCGATGGAAGAGCGCGGGCCCTGCCCCAGCGGGGCAGCAATCTGTCGGGGGCAGCCCGGGCTTTGAGGCAGAAGCGACCGTCGGGTCGCTGGCGCGCGGCCCTGCTTCCGATTGGGGCCTTCAGTGCAGCTCCCTACGTGCGGCCACGAAGCGTGTGAGGTGCTCGCCGAACTGGGGATGCTGCTGATGCTGATGATGATGCTGATGATGGTGCTGCTGATGATGGTGCTGATGATGGTGCTGATGATGGTGCTGATGATGGTGCAGATGATGGTGATGATGGTGATGATGATGGTGGTGATGATGATGACGATGGTGATGATTTGGAAGGCAGCTGGAGAGAAGGCGTGAACGCGGGCCGCTCCTGGCTTACAGCGAGGACCCGACACCACGGGGATGGCCAGGAGCGCCGCGTGCCCCGAGCGCCCGCGGGCATTCGGCTCTCTCGGGCGCAGACCCCTGCGCGGCCCGGGGCGAGGACGGCCCCCTCCCGCCGCCCCGGGCCGCGGAGGCCCCGACGTCCGAGGGATGCCGGCGACCAGAGGAACGGGCGCCGCGCCCGCGGACTGAGAACCCAGAGATCCGACGCTCCAGCAGGATTGGAGCGGGCAGACTTGGGCTGATTTCGGCCTCCGGGGGTGCTCGCTGGGCCTCGGGAGCGTCAGATCACCGACTCAGGGCGAAGGACCGGCCCTGGGGAAGCGGTGCAGACCTCCAGGGCCCACGCAACGGAAAAGTGGGAGCAGCCGGATGTCTGGGAAGGAGAAGGCCGTCTCAGAAGGCTCGGAAGGCCTCGGGCCTCCTGAGAGGCTTTCTGAGCCTTCCCCGAAGACACAGGAAGCTTCTCAAACGGCGCGAGGGCTTCTGAGAAGTCCCGCCACCCACCTTCTGAGAAGGCCTCCTCCTTCTCACTTCTCCCCCTTGCTCGCCGCCGAGCTTCTCAAGAAGCATCATCGCAGCGCAAGGCTAGAGCAGAGCATTTCGCCCTGTCGTGCGCGATGTGCTCTGAGGCCCGCTCCCGCCGTCTATGCTGCAGCGTCAACGACGCAGTGCCCACGTCAAAGTGACAAAAGCGTCGGCGCTGCATTTGGGGTTTTCATGGCCAGGACCCCTCTCTCGCTTACGTGGTCGATCATGCGGCCAGGTCGGACTACAACGCAAGATGCAACAAGAAGGGTTGGGGGCGAGGCGGAACAGATGGAGGAGGATGAGGAGGAGGAACCGGAATGGGGAGGGAGGGCGGGAGGAGGAGGAGGGTGGTGGAGAAGGGGGACCAGCGCAACGCCATGACACATCAACGATGTTGCAATAAACACTCCCTCAACAGTTCTCTCTTCATGGGCCGCTGCAAGCATGTTTTCCCATTGCAGGAAAGGCTCATTGGTAGACAACAGTCCGAACAACTCAACGCCCCAGACTCCAAAAAGGGGAGAGGCCTCGCCAGGGCCAGGAAAAGGCAATGACACAACAATATGTTAGCCAGCGTGGACCCCACAGTGATTTATTGCAATCTATGCCGCGCAATCTAGGTGGTGCAATCAATGTGGTCCAACCTAGGTGGTGCAATCCACGTGGTGCAACCTATGTGGTGCAAAGTAATTTTGAATAGTCTGGTGCTGTCAACTCCACTGTTCGCGCGTTCATTCCACCCTCCCACCCGCAACTTGGTTAGCAAAACCCACGCGGCGACGATTGCGATGACTGCTTGGCCATGATTGGCGCGTCTCTGCTGCCGTGATGGCGCGCGCAAACTCGCGCGCAGAGCGCCCAACTGGTTTGACACAGCCCATGCGGCCGCGATGACGCTTGCAGGTGGCAACGTCCCAGCACGCGTCAAACGCCGCGCTGGCGTGCGGGCATTTCAAAGCGGGTCAGTGGCTCGGGCGGGCGCGGTATCATGATGACACCGACATCGGCGGCAACGATTATGATAGCAGCGATGGTGGTGACCATGATGGCGTTGACGACCGTAAGGCTCATGACAGCGCTTATGCTGGTGACGATGATGATGTCCATGTATCGCTTATGCAGGGTTTGGAAGGGTTTCGACATGCTCGCGCGGCCGACGCGCCCGAGTGGCCCGCATGGTGTCATTTGACAGAAATCGTGTCCCCTCCCAGCAAGCGCGCAAAGGCGTCCGACAGATTTCGACATGCGCGCGCGCGAGAGGCCCGCGTGGTTTTATTTGAGGGGAATGGTGAAACCACCTAAAGTTTCCACATATACTCTCGAGAGCGTGCGCATTTTTCCCGGTGGGTATTTTTTTGAGGTTCTCGATAATTTCGATCTTGAAATCCTTGCGACATCTACAGTTTTGGACGGGTTTCGGCATGTGCCTGCGACGACGCGCGCGTGTGGACGTTGCCTCGTTTCAGCAAGGGGTTCTTGAAACTAGTTTTTGGTAAACGAGCGTGCGCGCATTGTTTAATTTGATCGGGGTGAGGGGGGAGCATTACCTTGGGATGGTATGAGTTCATTTGCAAGATGGACGATGGGTCCTATGTAAAGTGTATGCTCCCAGGGGGAGGAGGTATTCACGGTGGGGTGGGGGTAGGGGCTATTTTTCCTTCTAAACAACTGAACCAATGCAAAGCAACGCAACTCAATGCAAATCATTGCGACGCAATGCAAAACAATGCAAACCAACGCAAAGCAATGCAAAGCAAAGCCGAGGAATGCAACGCAATGCGCAGCAACGAAAAGCAATGCGAAGCAATGCAACGCAATGCACAGCAACGCAGGCACATGCAAAGCAACCCAGTGCAACGCAACGCAAAGCAATCCAACACGATGCACTGCAATGCAGTACAATACAATGTGATCGGAAGCAACACCAAGCAATGCAAAGCAGTGCAACGCAATGCGAGGCAATGCAAAGCAATGCAACGCAACGCAACGCCGAGCTTGCGATGCGAACTAGGAGTGCAAAGGCGGGGGTGCAACGGGATGGTGGCGACGGACAGGAACGGGGCCGCTTGGCCAGGGAATCATGGGGCGGCGACGGGCGGGAACGGGGCCGCCATGCCAACATATGGGCCTAGCTCTTTACAACGCATTTGCCAATCCCTAAGTGCAAACACTGTTAGGGGAAGTTCTTCACTATCAATTTGATAGGCTTCGGGCGCCCCTCAATTTCGGAAATAATTCGAAAATCCGAAGTCGTGCCAATACGCAATTCTTGGTATTTCAACGACGCGAATCAACGTGACTGTTGCGTCACGAAAACCCTGAGCCTTGCCAGAGCACCAATCCACATGATAGTTGCGTTTTAGCAACACTAAACCGCGCCGGAACACCATCCGGGACTTCAACCTATCGAATATTTGAAGATCGCGCAAACGTTTAAGACGAATGTGCGCAGCGCTAAGGCGAGAGCCACATTGGAGAAAGAAAGCCTGCCTCCATCTCCGAAGCTGCTGCAAACTTTTAAGACGAATGTGCGCAGCGGCGCCAAAGTTATAGCCCCATTTTCAAAGCGACCCGCCGTCCATCCTTGAAGCTGTTGCAAGTCTTTTAGACGAGTGTGCGCGGCGTTACGGCTAGAGCTCCGTTTTGAAAACAGCCCGCCCTCCATCCTTGCAGTTGCTTCAAAGTTCAAGCTTCAGGATCAGAAGTGGTGAGGAAGCCTCATGCGAAACGTGCGGCCCAGCCTACCGACGGGACTGGGAGGCGGGAGGATATGGGAGGAGGGGGAGAAGGAGAGACCTCTTCTTCCCGCGCGCCCAGGCAAAAGCGCTTCAGCGTTGGGAAGAAGACGGAAAAGCTGTCGGCCGCCTGCGCCCAGAAGGTCTTCGAGCTGCAGCAGCAGCTCTCGCAGGAAGCCCCGTCGGCACCGGCGCGACAGCCAACGCGCTGAGATACGAATCCTTTGGGCTCGGGCGGGGCTTTGGTCTCTGGGCCGTTCTTTAGACCTCTAGCTCACAGAGCCTGGACGTGGCCGAGGCACGCCGTGACCCAAAGGGCCCCTTCGTCCCCGATTCGGCGTCCCTGATGGTAGCACGGTGGCTGTCCCCTGATGCGGAACTCACCCCTGGGAAGCGATTTCATAAAAGGGGCATGATTGCCAGTCGACCTTCCTTTTTCGTTGAAGTATGAAGGGGATGATGCGAAAAGGCTTTTTCCTGCCAGTCTCTCCGCTGATCTGTCACCTTCTCATCCAACTTGCAGACAACACTCCCCCTTCTGCTTGTGACAGCGGGTCCTTAGACAGCAACCAGCCATGTTGATCAATATGGCATACAAAAGTCGGAACAAGTAGTTTTCCCATATAGAAGAAGTAGGAAACTAATAGCTTTGACTAGGAAGAACTAGTTTCAAAGTAGTTTCAAATAGGAAATAGTTTTCCATGCGTTGACATAAGATTTCAATGTCAATTTGCGGGTTGATCAGGACGCGCGCTGCGAATGTGTCGCGCTGCAACCATAATATTGCCGCTGCCATTCCGGGCGCGTTGCTTTGCGCCGCATTGCTGGAGGTTCGCAGGCGCGGGGCCCCGCTGCCGAAACAAGCGCGTATTGTTGGGGGCCCTGAATGCAAGGTCGTAGCGCCGGCGTCTTCTTGTAGTCTACAGGGCGGCCCGCGGATTCCATGGATGCATAGCGCGCGGCGCTTTCTGCCGGTTGCAACTTTTGGATCGGGGCCGAGCAAGTGGCGGAGCCCCGCCCGCCAGGCCAGCACGCAGTTAAGATGTGTGAGCCTGGAACCTCGTGCGGGGGCGGGAAAATGATTCTTAGGCTTACGCCACACCGCCGACCCCTTGTTTATGCCAATCTGGGGGTAGTAGAAGCTGCGAAGGGGTGAAAAGCGAGTTTTGGAGCCACTTGGGGGCCGTTTCGGAGCCTCTGGGGTGCTTCTTGGGGGTTCCTTGGGGCGTCTGGGCGGCCTCGTGAGGGCCTCTGGGGGCCTCTTGGGGCACTCTTGGGGCCCCCTGGGGCTCCTGGGGGCAGAAAGCTAGAGTTTCAACATGTTTGGTCGCCCTCTTGGGCCCCTCTTGGTGCCGTCTTGGAGCCCTCTTGGGCCGTCTTGGGGACCTCTTGGGCCGTGTTGGGGCCGTCTTGGGCCGTCTGGAGGCCGTCTTGGGGGCCTCTTGGGCCATCTTGGGGCTTTCTTGGGGGCCTCTTTGGCCGTCTTGGAGCGTCGGGAAGCCGAAAAGGCGGAAAAGCAAAAAACATAGAAAAACACTATGGAAAATCAACAATTTTAGACTCTTGGGGTCCTCTTGGGAGGCTTGTTTGGGACCTCGGGGGCCGTCTTGGAGACCTCTTGGCCCGTCTTGGGGCCATCTTGGGCGTCTTGGAGCGGTCGTTTGGCGTCTCGGGGCCTTCGTGGGCCGTCTTGGAGGCCTCTTGGGGGCTTCTTGGCCCGTCTTGAGGCCCTCTTGGGCCCAGAAAAGCCCCGTGAACCGCTCGTCCCGGCCGTGCTGCGCTCGTCCCGGCCGTGCTGCGCTCGTCCCGGACCCCCCCCCCCCTCCAAATCGACCGGACCGGGCTCCCGGGGGAGGGGTTTGGGGAGGGGGAAGCATCTCACGCGCCGATGATCCCCAAGGGGTCGGCGGATTTCGCCGATTTAGATAGCGATTTCGGGGCCCGGGCCCGCCCGCCCGCGGGCCCGCCATAGCGGCCGGCCAGGCGGGCCTCCGGCGGGCCCGGGGTCCGCGAGAGCTGGCGCGGCCGGCCCAGATTTGCGCGCGCCGGCGCGGCCCGGGCGGATTTGCAAAACGCGCTGGCGCGGCGGGGCCCAAGTTTGCACGCGCCGGCGCGTCCGGGCCCGGACGTGCAAAGCGCGCCGGCTCGGCCGGGCCCAGATTTGCAAAGCGCGCCGGCGCGGCCCCGCATGAAACTATAAAACGCGCCAGCGCGGCTGGCCCAGATTCGCAAAGCGCGCCGGCGCCGCTTGGCCCGGAATTCCCGCGCGCGGCGCCTCCGGACGCCGGCGGGCCGCCGAAGGGGGGGTAGAACAAATTATTTTACAGCTACTGCGAAGCTACTTATACTTTGAGGGTACTTAAAACCTATCTCCTGGGGCGCCCGGAATGCCCCTGGAGGGGGGGCAACATGATCGATTCACGAACCCGGAAAGGAATATAGATCTGTAGCGCATGGCAGCGTTTTCAAAGACACCTGATTGGGTGACGGGCAAATGCAATGCTGAGTGTATCGATATTGATGTACCCTGCCGAGGGTTGTGCTGTGCTGCACCGTGCTGAATTGCGATGTGCCATGCCGCGAATGTGCTCTATAGCGTCATGGATCGAGTGTTCCTTTGCAACCGAGTCCTGACCGAACTGATCTGGAACTTAAGCTCGAGCTGCCTGAACACATAGTAGCTGCCCCAGAGTCGATGGACAGGAGAGCATGTCAGGAGGACGCGCCGCGAAATGTCCCAAGGGATGCGCCAGGCGACGTGCCAGGGGACATGCCATGGGGTCGCACCGCGGGACGTGCCAAGGGGGCGCGCTACGAAACGTGCCAATGGATGTGCCACGGGATGTGCCAGGGGACGCACCACGCGACGTGCCAGGGAAACTCACCAAAGTGGCGCGCCACGGAACGTGCCAAGGAACGTGCCAAGTTGCAATGCTGAGTGTATCGATCTTGATGTACCGTGCCGAAATATGTGCTGTGCTGCGCCGTGTTGAACTGCGATGCGCCATGCCGCGATTGTGCTTCAGAGCCTCGTGGATCGAGTCCTCCTTTTGCGTCCGAGTCCTGACCGAACCGATCTCGATCTTAAGCTCGAGCTGCCTGAACACAGAATAGCTGCCCCAGAGCTAATGGACAGGGGGACGTGCCAGGAGGACGCGCCGCGGAACGTCTCAAGGGACGCGCCAAGCGACGTGGGACGTGTCATGGGGACGCACCGCGGGACGTGCCAAGGGGACGCGCTACGGAACGTGCTGGGGACAAGCGTCTCGCTCGAGACATCCGGTCAAAATCCAAGGAAATCCGGGCAAAACAAACGAATTAGTCGAGACATCCTCAAAATTCCTGCGCGCGGGACGCGGCACGCGCGAGACATCCTTGGAATTCCTGTGAGCGGGACGTGAAAACAAGCATGTTGCCTGAGACATCCTCTGAATTCTGGCCCCCCACGAGGCCCCCGCTCGACACACCCCAATTTTGCAAAACCAGTGTTTCGCTCGAAACATTTTCCACAAATTATGAAAATTTTGCAAAACCAGCGTTTCGCTCGAAACATCCTCAACCAATTATGACAAAAACAACATTTCGCTCGAGACATCCTGCCTAAATTCCAGGGAATCATAGAAAAACAAACGAATTAGTCGAGACATCCTCGAAATTCCTGCGCGCGGGACGCCGCACGCGCGAGACATCCTCGGAATTCCTGCGCGCGGGGCGCTTTTCCGCGTCGCGGTCGGCTCTGCAAAGCCAGCGCTTCGCTCAAGAAATCCTCAACAAATTCTGAAAACAAGCGTTTCCCTCGAGACATCCCCGACTATGCAAAACCAGCGTTTCGCTCGAGAGATCCTCAACAAATTCTGAAAAACAAGCGTTTCGCTCGAGACATCCTCCCAATTAATTCCGCCGGCCCACCTCGACCTCGATATTTATCAGGGACGAATTCCGCCGGCCCACCTCAAGTCAGGTCCGGGGGTAAACCTCTAAAAGAGAACCCTGGGCCTAAGCCATTTCCGGGAACATGATGGACCCACGAACCCGGAAAAGGGATATAGACATGTGGAGCATGGGCACGTTTTCACGATACCTAACGGGGCAACACCTCACGAAACATCCCACGAGACACCTCAAGAAACATCCCACGAGACACCTCACGAAACATTCCGCGAGACACCTCACGAAACATTCCACGAGACACCCCGCGAAACATTCCACGAGACACCCCACGAAACACTCCACGACGACAGGCAACCACTCAACCAAGGCGGTGTGGTCGTGCTGGAGGTTCGTGGCTGGTGTTTGGTCGTGCGGGGGGTGATCGTTCTGGGGGCGGATGTTCGTGGTCGTTCTGGGGGCGTGGTCGTGCTTGTGGGGTGGTCGTGGCTGGGGTGGATTGCTGGGGCGTTGGTGTCGTGCTGGGCCGGTGGACGGCTGGTGTGGCGGTGGTCGTGCTGGGGGGTGGTCGTGCCGGGGGGTGGTCGTGCTGGGGGCGTGGTCGTGCTGGGGGGTGGTCGTGCTGGGGCGTGGTCGTGCTGGGGCGTGGTCGTGCTGGGGCGTGGTCGTGCTGGGGCGTGGTCGTGCTGGGGCGTGGTCGTGCTGGGGTGGGGTCGTGCTGGGGTGTGGTCGTGCTGGGGTGTGGTCGTGCTGGGGTGTGGTCTTGCTGGGGTAGGGTCGTGCTGGGGTCGGGTCGTGCTGGGGTGTGGTCGTGCAGGGGTATGGTCGTGCTGGGGTGGGGTCGTGCTGGGGTGGGGTCGTGCTGGGGTCTGGTCGTGCTGGGGTGTGGTCGTGCTGTGTGGTGGTCGTGCTTGTGTGTGGTCGTGCTGGGGTGTTCCGTGGCACCCAGGTGATTTAACGTATCGGGTCGTGCTGAGGGAGTGGGTCGTGCTGGGGCGTGGTCGTGCTGGGGCGTGGTCGTGCTGTGGCGTGGTCGTGCTGGGGTGTGGTCGTGCTGTGGTGTGGTCGTGCTGGGGTGTGGTCGTGCTGGGGTGTGGTCTTGCTGGGGTGGGGTCGTGCTGGGGTGTGGTCGTGCTGGGGTGTGGTCGTGCTGGGGTGTGGTCGTGCTGTGGTGGGGTCGTGCTGGGGTGGGGTCGTGCTGGGGTGTGGTCGTGCTGGGGTGTGGTCGTGCTGGGGTGTGGTCGTGCTAGGGTGGGGTCGTGCTGGGGTGGGGTCGTGCTGGGGTGTGGTCGTGCTGGGGTGTGGTCGTGCTGGGGTGTGGTCGTGCTAGGGTGGGGTCGTGCTGGGGTGGGGTCGTGCTGGGGTGGGTCGTGCTGGGGTGTGGTAGTTCGTGGGAGCGTGGTCCTGCTACCCTGTGATGTTATCGATCGGGTCGCGTGCTGGTGTGTGTCGTGCAGGTGCTTGGGTTTGTCGTGCTGGGGAGTGGTGTCCGTGCTGGGGTGTGGTCGTGCTGGGGTGTGGTCGTGCTGGGGTGTGGTCGTGCTGGGGTGTGGTCGTGCTGGGGCGTGGTCGTGCTGGGCGTGGTCGTGCTGGGTTGTGGTCATGCTGGGGGTGTGGTCGTGCTGAGGTGTCCCGCACCCTGTGATTTATCGATCGGGATTTCAAAAACAAGCGTTTCGCTCGAGACATCCTCAACAATAATTTCGCCGGCCTCCTTCGACCTCGATATTTATCAGGGAAAAATTTCGCCGGCCTCCTTCAAGTTGGGCACCGGGGACTATGTTTACATACTAAAAGAGAACCCTGGGCCTTTGCCCTTTCCGGGAAAAAAGATACTTTCCGGAGCCACTTGGAAGCTACCAAAAGCTAGTTGAAAGCAAGAAGAAAACTACATGAAAGCTAGACAAATTGACCGTTAGCTACAAAAAGCTAGTTTCAGCTAGAAAAAGCTAAACATGATCGACCCACGAACCCGGAAAGGAATATAGAAATGTAACGCATGGCAGCGTTTTCAAACACACTTGATTGGGTGACGGGCCACTGCAATGCTGAGTGTATCGATCTTGATGTCCCCTGCCGACGGCTCTGCCGTGCTGCGCCGTGATGAATTGCGATGTGCCATGCCGCGAGTGTGCTCTATAGCGTCGTGGATCGAGTCCTCCTTTGCATCCGAGTCCTGACCGAACTGATCTGGATCTTAAGCTCGAGCTGCCTGAACACATAGTAGCTGCCCCAGCGCCAATTGACAGGGGGACCTGCCAGGAGGACGCGCCGCGAAACGTCCCAAGGGACGCGCCAGGCGACGTGCCAGGGGACGTGCCATGGGGTCGCACCGCGGGACGTGCCAAGGGGACGCGCTACGGAACGTGCCAACAGATGTGCCACGGGATGTGCCTGGGGACGCGCCACGCGACGTGCCAGGGGAACTCGCCAAGGGACGCCCCACGGAACGTGCCAAGGAACGTGCCAGGTCGCAATGCTGAGTGTATCGATCTTGTTGTACCGTGCCGACGTCTGTGCTGTGCTGCGCCGTGATGAATTGCGATGTGCCATGCCGCGAGTGTGCTCTATAGCGTCGTGGATCGAGTCCTCCTTTGCATCCGAGTCCTGACGAACGATCTGGATCTTAAGCTCGAGCTGCCTGAACACATAGTAGCTGCCCCAGCGCCAATTGACAGGGGGACCTGCCAGGAGGACGCGCCGCGAAACGTTCCAAGGGACGCGCCAGGCGACGTGTCAGGGGACGTGCCATGGGGTCGCACCGCGGGACGTGCCAAGGGGATGCGCTACGGAACGTGCCAACAGATGTGCCACGGGATGTGCCTGGGGACGCGCCACGCGACGTGCCAGGGGAACTCGCCAAGGGACGCCCCACGGAACGTGCCAAGGAACGTGCCAGGTCGCAATGTTGAGTGTATCGATCTTGTTGTACCGTGCCGACGTCTGCGCTGTGCTGCGCCGTGATGAATTGCGATGTGCCATGCCGCGAGTGTGCTCTATAGCCACGTGGATCGAGTCCTCCTTTGCATCCGAGTCTTGACCGAACTGATCTGGATCTTAAGCTCGAGCTGCCCGAACACATAGTAGCTGCCCCAGCGCCAATTGACAGGGGGACCTGCCAGGAGGACGCGCCGCGGAACGTCTCAAGGGACGCACGAAGCGACGTGCCAGGGGACGTGCCATGGGGTCGCACCGCGGGACGTGCCAAGGGGACGCGCTACGGAACGTGCTGGGGACAAGCGTTTCGCTCGAGACTTCCTGTCAAAATCCTCATGCTAGACATCCGCCTGAGCGACCTGGACACGTGAAAACAAGCGTTTTGCTCAACACATCCTCAACACATTCTCATGCTAGACATCCGCCTGCGCGAACTGGACGCGTGAAAACAAGCGATTCGCTCGAGACATCCTCAACACATCTCCATGTGAGACGTCCGCCTGGGTGACCTGGGCACGTGAAAACAAGCGTTTCGCTCGAGACGTTTTCAACACCTCCTCATTCTAGACATCCGCCTGTGCGACCTGTACACGTGAAGGCAAGCGTCTCGACCTGGACACGTGAAAACAAGCGTATCTCTCGAGACATTCTCAACACATCCTCATGCTAGGCATCCGCCTGGGCAACCTGGACACGTGCAAACAAGCATCTCGATCGAGACTTCCTCAACACATCCTCATGCTAGACATCCGCCTGGTCGACGAGGACGCGTGAAAGCAAGCGTCTCGCTCGAGACATCCTCAACAAATCCTGGCGCTAGACCTCTGCCTCGGCAACCTGGAGGCGTGAAACCAAGCGTCTCGCTCGAGACATCCTCAAGATCTGGGCTCGTGAAAACAAGCATTTCACTTTAGAGATCCTCTAAATTCTAGTCCCCAGGAAAGAACACAAAACAAGCGTTTCGCTCGAGACATCCTCAACAAATTCCGAACAACAAGCGTTTCGCTCGAGACATCCTGAAATTATAATTCGCCGGCCCCCTTCGACTTCGTAATTTATCGCGCAAGAAGATCGCTGGCCCCCTTCAAGCCAAAACCGGAGGTAAACCTACTAAAAGAGAACCCTGGGCCTATGCCCTTTCCGGGAAAAATGGTATCTCGATGACCTAAAAAATGATATTTGAATTCCTTTTTGGTTCGCCAGGGCGCCCCCGGGCCCGCCGGCCGGGGTTGGCCGGGGGCCCCCCCGACCGGGCCCGCCGGCGGCAGGCCGGAGGGGGCCTCCGGCGGCCGCGGGGTCCGCCGGGGCCGGCGCGGCCGGTGAAAAACGCGCCGGCGCGGCCCCAGCCCGATTTGCGAAGCGCGCCGGCGCCGCCAGGCCCAGACAATGGCGCGCCGGCGCGGCCAGGCCGACGATGAAACGCTTCGGCGCGGCCGGGCCGCGCCAGCGCGGCCGGGCCCGGCGCGGGCGGTGGGCGCGGGGGAGGGGGGGGGGGGAAGAGAAGAAGGGGAGGAGGGAGGAGGAGGAGGGGAGGAGGAGAGGAGGAGGAGGAGGAGGAGGAGGAGGAGGAGGAGGAGGAGGAGAGGAGGAGGAGGAGGGGAGGAGGAGGAGGGCGAGGAGGAGAGGAGGAGGAGGAGGAGGAGGAGGAGGAGAGGGACGAGGAGGGAATGGGGGCGAGCTGCGAGCAGGAGGAGGGGTGGGTGGGGGCGGCGGAGGAAGACAACGACGGCGGAGGGGAAGGGGCGGGAGAGAGAGGCGGGCGAGGGGCTCGCTTCAGGAGAAAGCGCCGCCGCGGCACGGCGAGACGGGCGCGCGACGGGTAGTGGAGGGGGAGGTCGGGCGAAAGAGGAGGAGGAGGAGGAGGAGGAGGAGGAGGAGAAGGAGGAGGAGGAGGACGAGGGGCCGAGACGAGGAAGGGGAAGGCTGGTGAAGGGGTTGAGGAGGGAAATGTGGAAGAGGCATTGGGGTGTGTCGCGTGCAGAACCGCGTCGCGACCATCGCCGTGGCGTCGCGCGCAGAAACCGCGCGGCATTCCTTGTTGATTTACTGGCACGCGGGGCCGTGGTTTGATTTGGCGCGTCGCCGCTGCGGGTTCGACGTTGCCCATCCCGCGCGCGTTCCCGTCGCTTCGGGAGCTAAGCAGAAGCTGTTTTGCTGCTTTAAGCTATCTCGGGAAACTACTTTTCCAAGTTTTTTCTATCTCATATTGCTGTCTAGATCCCCAGCTGTCTAAGGCCATCTGGTGTCACAACCTTCTGCATCACGCGACGGGGTCGCTTGGGGGATCAATGTGCTTCTGGACACCCCAGTCGGCGGGTGCACAATATTTCAGCACAGAGGGAAGGGATGGTTGAGAGTGGTTCAGATATGGCGCGAGCGCGCCTATCTTGCCCACTCTCCCTGCCCCTCTACCTTCTCCTTTCGCTCCTCCTCCCCAGCCGTCTAATTCAACGGGCAGGGGGGGCTCTAACAGGACGTGCTGCTGTCTCCGGAGCTCAGCAACGCCTGCCTGGAGGACAGCGTCCGATGGGCACCGGAATCTGTCCCCCTCTCCTATTATTATTCCTCGTCCTCCTCCTCCTCCGTCACCTCTCTTTCACCCTCTGAGGGGGAGGAGGAGGGGGCCGGGGGCGAGCGGGGGGGAAGGAGGAGATGGGAGGGAAGGGAAGAGGAGGAGGGGAGGAGGGGAGGAAGGAGGAGGGGAGGTAGGAGGAGGAGGAGGAGGAGGTGATAGGAGGAGGAGGAGAGGAGGGGAGAGGAGGAGGAGGAGGAGGAAGGAGGAGGAGGAGGAGGAGGATGAAAGAGAGAGGAGGAAAATAAGAAGGAGGAGGAGAAGGAGGAGGAGGAGGAGGAGGAGGAGAGGAGAGGAGGAGGAGAGAAGGAGGAGGCGGAAGAGGAATATGTGGAAAGATAAAGGAGGGAGGGGGGGGGGGGGGTGCAGATGTTGCCCCCTCCTCCCCCTGGCCCTCCTCGTCCTTCTCCCCTTGTTTTTCGCTCCCTTTTGCTACTTCTTTTCCTCCCTCCCCCTCCTCCCTCTATCTCCTCCCTTCCTACTCTTCCCTCTCTCTCTTTCTCCTCCTCCTCCTGCTCTGCTCCTCCTGCTCCTCCCCTCCTGCCTCCTCCTCCTCCTCCTCCTCCTCCTCCTCCTCCTCCTCCTCCTCCATGCCTGTTCTCTCGTTTTCCACCTCCCGCCTCATCCTCCTCCTGCTCCTCATCATCATCCTCCCTCCTCACTCTTTTCCTCCGTCTTTCCCTCCTCCATCTCTGTATCTCTCCGTTCTCCTGTTCCCGTCTCCTCCTCCTCCGGATCCCATCTAATTCTCCTCCTCCTCCTACTCCTCCCTTCTCCTCTCCTCTCCTCACTTCTCCTGCCCTCTCCTCCTCCTCCGCCTCCTCCTCCTCCTCCTCCTCCTCATCCTCCTTTTCCCCCTCCTCTTCCTCCTCCTCCTCCTCCTCGTTCTCCTCCTCACCCTCCTCCTCGTCGTCACCCCTCCTCCTCCTCCTCCTCCTCGTCATCCTCCTCCTCATCCAGTTCCTCTGTTGTTGTCTTCGTCGTCGTCCTCCAGAGGACCTGAAGAGGATCGCCGTTTGCAAACCGCTTCCGGGCAGCATCATGCGCGCCTCGTGCTTCAAGGAGCACAAGAAGGAGCACATGCGAGAGCATCTGCGCCGAAAAGAGGAGGAGGATGATGAGGTGGAGGAGTACGAGGAGGAGGAGGAGGAGGAGAAAGAGGAGGAGGAGGAGGAGAAGGAGGAGGAGGAGGAGGGGGAGGAGGAGGAGGAGGAGGAAGAAGAGTAGGGAAAGGAGTAGGAGGAGGAGGAGGAGGAGGAGGAGGAGGATAAGTTGGAGGCGGTGAAGCAGGAGGATAACAGCAAGAGCCGAGGAGAATGAGGAGGCGGAGGCGCATGAATGAGGAGGATGCGGAGGGAGAAGGAGCTGGAGTTGGAGGAGGGAGGGGGCGGGAAGGCGCACCCGCAGGATCTCGGTGAGAAATGTCGCGCCAAGCTGTTCAAGTTCGAGGCCTGCCGGCCAAGCTCTAACCCCTCTGTCTCCTACTTGTCCATCTGTCCTCTCGTCGTTCGCCTTCTCTTTCTCTCTTCTCGTCGTCGCCATCCTTCTCCTCTTCCGCCTCCCCGGTATCCTTATCGATGCCGTTTTTCATCACCCTCGTCGATTATCCCTGCCCTTCATTTCTGTCTGTTTTGTTTTCCTTTTCCAGAGATATCTCTTCCTCCTCTTCTTTCTCCTCATTCTTGCGCCGATTCGTCTTTCCCCTTGCCTCGCTCCTCGTCCCCATCCTCGAAGACCCTCCATTTCCTACCTTCGCCCTCTAACCCGTCGACCTGTCGATCCTCCTTCTCCGCCCCGTCCTTCTCGTCCTCTTCCCCTCCCCCTCTCCCTCCCTTCTTCGCCTTTTCCTCTGGAGCATCCTCAGTTTTGACGGCTTCCTTATCCTCCCGATCCTCCTCTTCCTTTTCTTGCTTTCTCCTCCTCCTCCTCCTTTTCCTACTCCCTCTCCTTTCAGCATTTTTCTCCTTCTCCCCTTCTCGATCCTTCTTCTGCTGCTGCCCCTCTTCCACGCCGTCATACTGGGAGGTGCAGTCTGCGGAAGACGTCCGGCTGAACGCGGACGTGTACGAGAACTGCGCAGACGAGATCAAAGAGTCTTGCGGCGACAAGGAGTTAGCTCGGCAATGGCAAGGGGTGGAAGGATGGAAGATGAGGATGATGAGAAGGATGATTATGATGCTGATGAGGAGCAGGATAAGGATTACGAGGAGGAGGAGGAGGAGAAGTTAGGTGGATGGGGATGGATTCGGAGGACATGAGCGGGAGGGTGGAGGGAGAGGGAGGGATAAGAACGGAAGGATGAGGAGGGAAGAGGGAGAAAGGATGACAGTGTGGGAGGGGGGGGAGTTAGGTGGATATAGGAGCGAGGAAGAGGGAGCGTGGAGAACAGGGGGATCAGCTGGATGGTGCGCAAAATCAGAAAGGATAAGGCGGACTTTTCAGAGGAATGCGTAGATGATGACGAGCATGTAGATGGTGGAGGGCAGACAGAGGAGGAGCAGTGTGTGTAGGGGGACAACCAGGGGGGGATAAACCCCTGTTAGTGCGCAAAGGCAATCTGTCGAATGCTGATGCTGATGACGATGATGATGGTGATGATGATGGTGATGAGGATGATGAGGCTAATGATGCCGACGACCATGACGATGAGGATTATCTGATCATGGGGAGTAGGATGAAACGGACGAGGGATGCCAGATGCTAATGACAAAGCGTGTGGGTGGGAGGATGAGGCTGGAGGAGCGTGCTGATAAAAGGACGATCTGTATAATGGTGGTATGAGGGGGGAGGACAGGGCATGGATGAATCTTATATGAGTTGTATGATCGTGCAGAAGCAACCGAAGGACAACGCGGGGGAGGGATGCTTGAACGGCAGTGCACAAGGTGTGAATGGGATATTGGGGGCACAGGAGTAGGAGGGGGAGGGGGGAGCATCAGGAGAAACTGGGGAACTCGGGAAGGAGGGAGAGGATAAGACCCCTGCGAGTGCGCCCTATGGTAACGCTGCTGCTGCTAATGACAATGGTGATGAGACGATGATGCAGGTGCTGCTGTTGCTGATGCTGCTGGTATTTTTGCTGCTGATGGTGATGGTGATGACGAGAACGATGCTGATTATGATGCTACCGATGATGATGAATGGTTACGATGATGATCATGAGTATGAATACGAACCTGATGATGGTTGCGATGACGATGCTGACGACGTTGATGATGAACCTGATGATGGTACTGATGATGATACTGATGATGCTGAGTATGATGATTATGATGAGGATGCTGATTATGATGATGATGACGATACTGATGATGACGATGCTGATGATGACAATGATGATGCTGATTGTGATGATTATGATGAGGATGCCGATGATGATAACGACGATGCTGGCGACGATACTGGTGATGTTGTGGTTGATGATGTCGCTTTCCGATGCCAGCGACAATGACCATGACGACGACGGGAATGATGATTATGGTTATGATGATGCTGGTAAGGACGGTTGTGGTTGTGGCGATGGTGGCGATGGTGGTGATGATGAGGATGTTCACGATGAGGCTGACGACGCTAACGACGTTGATGACGACAACAGTGATGATGAGAACGAGGAGGCATGTAGGAGGACGAGTCGAGAGGATTGCGAGGCGGATGATGCTACTGAGGAAAGAGAGAAGATGTGAGTGCGGATTGAGGGAGCTGACACACACACACACCACACACACAACACACACACACACGTATGCGCGAGTGCCGTGGGTGCCCAACAGCGATCATTCAACACGGTGGGGGATGCATTGCGTATATCTGTCAAGGGGGGACGAGGGGGAAGAGGACGAGGGGGAAGAGGGGGAAGAGGACGAGGGGGAAGAGGACGATGACGAGGGGGAATAGGGGAAAGGAGAGTGAGGACGAGGGAGAGGAGACGGGAGGGAGGCAGCGTGACCGTGGCGGGCGCCCGTGCGAGTGGCCTGGCCTCTGGCGGGGAGGTCTCGAGCGGCCGGGCAGGGGACTTCCTCCCGGGCCGCCCCGGCAAGGGGCTGACGTCCCTCGGCAGTGGCCCAGGCCACCTCAATCCCCAGGTGCGGAAAGGGAGAGGCAGGAAGCGCAGGAGCAGGAGCAGGAGGAGGAGGAGGATGGCGATGGTCATGGTGGTGGTGATGGTGATGGTGATGCTGATGATAATGCTGCTGCTGCTGCTGATGATGATGATGAGGATGAGGATGAGGATGAGGATGAGGATGAGGATGGTGATGATGATGCTGATGATGATGACGATGGCGATATGTATGATCATGCTGCTTCGGCTGATGATGGTGATGACAGTGATGCGGTCGTTGCTGATGATGAGGATGTTGTTGATGATGATGAAACTTATGATGGCGAGTGAATGTGATTATGGTGTTGATTATGCGGATGATGGTGTTGATGATGATGATGCTGATGCTAAATTGTGATGGTGATGCTGATGCTGTTGTTGTTGATGATTGGGGTGATGATGATGAATATGGTGGTGATGATGATGCTGCTGAAGATGATGATGCTGCTGATGATGATGATGATGATTATGCTGCTGCTGCTGCTGATGATGATGATGATGATGATGATGATGCGGATGATCATGATGATGCTGCTGCTGATGATGATGATGATGACGATGACGATGACGATGATGATGATGATGATGATGATGATGATGATGATGATGATGATGATGATGATGATGATGATGATGATGCTGAGCAGGAGGAGGAGGAGGAGGAGGAGGAGGAGGAGGACCAGGAGGAGAACTTCCCCTCCTTTGCTTCCTCCCTTTCCTTTCCTCGCTGCGTTTCCTCCTCCCTCCGCTTCCTCCTCATCGTCTTCCTCCCCTCCCAGGGGTATGGTAAGGAGGCGGAGGGAGGAGGAGGGAAGAGGACGGAGGAGGGGGAGGAGAAGGAGTCGGAGGAGGCCGACTCTGGCTGATGAGCAGCATGGAGCGAGCTCCATCGCATCCAGCGAGAACGGAGCAACAAAGTTGTTGAGTTTGGCACTGCCTGTTGCCGCACGTCGAGTCCTCAGAGGTAAGGGAGAGCCCGAGGCACCCATGGGCCTGCAGTTCCCTGGCCTCCCTCGTGCGCGCTGAGAGGCACTAATCTACCGCTTCCCGCGGATCAGCGATGCCGTGCAAGGCAGCGACCAGGAATCGGAGGATGAGGATGAGGAGGAAGAGGAGGAGTGGGTGGAGCAGGGATGAGGATGATGTTGAGAAGCAACAGCAGCTAGGAGTTCGGCGAGGCCCGGATACTGCAGTGCCTGTGGGAGACGTCCAGGGTGCGCTCGGCCACGAAGAGGTTCAGCTCCCTCTGCAAGGAGAAGGTCCAGAGAACGTCGTCGTAGTCGTCGTCCTCCTCCTCCTCCTCCTTCCTCCTCCTCCTCCTTTGGGAATGCTCCGTCTCCTCCTCCTCCTCCTCCTCCTCCTCCTCCTCCTCCTCCCGCCTCCTCATCATTAGCACCCCTTCTTCTTATTTTCGTTCTGCTCCATTCTCTTCCCTCCTCCCCCTCGTGCGCATCTCTCCTCGTCCTCCTTTGTCGTCGTCGTAGGCATGGTCGTCTGGCTCCTCTGCGTCGTCTGCGTCGTCATCCTGGTCGTCGTCGTCCTTGTGCCGTGGTCGTGGTCGTGATCGTGGTCGTGGCCGTGGTCGTCGTCGTCGTTGTCGTCGTCGTAGTCGTCGTCGTGGTCGTCTTTGTCGTTGTCGTCGTTGTCGTCTTCGTCGTCGTCTTCGTCGTCGTCGTCGTCGTCGTCCTCGTCTGCCTCTCCCTTCTTGTCTCTGGCCGGTTCTAGCACTCGGCGACGCGCCAAGGGGGGATGTGAGAGGGGGTGTGGCTTCTCAGAGGGCGGCGGGGCTTCTCAGAAGCCTTCCATCCTCCTGAGAAGCCCCCTGTCGCTTCGAAGAAGGCTTTCGCAGAAAGCTCCTCAGAAGGCCGGAGGCCTTCCGAGCTGTCTGAAAGGGCCCGCCCCCTCTGCCTCCCCCTGCCTGGGCCTCGTCGCCGAAGCAACCTGTAGCCCTCTTCCTACCATGTCGGGTGACTGGCGCGGCCTTCCGGCGTGAGCCGGGGCCCCTGGAGGCCCCTCGAGGATCCAGGGGTACGTGCCCCATTAGGTGGGTTCGCCTGAGCCGGGCACCGCCTCTCGAGGCGTTGGGCGCCGCCGCGCGGCGCCACGACCGCTCAGCGCGCGCGTCGGACAACAAAGAAAAAACAAAGGGCACGCGACCAGTGAGGGCCAGCCCTGGGCCCAGGATCGCCGCTGTCTCCGTCTGGCAGCTCGCACTTGCACTGGTCTCTTCGGTGCACGAGGCCGCCCGTGCGCCCCCGTCCTCGCAGGCTCGGCAGGCGCGTCCAGGTAGAGACATCTTGAGAGCGTAAAAGGCTCTCCAGGCGCGAGCTACCCTGTGCTGCGTGTCCTTTCGAGACCTTCCATCGAAGGTGAAACCAGAGCTGGGGCAAGGAAAACCCTCGGCACGAGGCGTGCGCGTCAGGACGCCATCCTTGACCCTCTGCGGTTCGGGTCCCCCTCCTTCCCCTGCCTCCGCGGCCGCCTTCCTCTGTTCCGCTGGCGTGCTTTGGCGCGGCTCGCCCCGCCGGGTCACAGACGCGCTAGCGACCGCCAGCGATGCAGACAACAGAACACGGCGATGGGCGACGAAGAGCGGCAGAAGCATCGACCGATGGGGGTGAAGGAATAATCCCAGACATCCGACGTCTCGATTTTTCGAGGCACGGGCCCCCGACCTCCCCCACCACTTCCCCAGGACCAGTTTTTCATCCCGAGTCGTTTTTTGGCGGCCCCGACCCCGAGAGGCCAAAAAAGACGAACAACCTCTGTCTCGTTTTTTTCGGCACGCCCGATGTCTGGGATTGATATCGCGACGCAGGAGCCGCCATGAGCGAGCTTCCGGCCGCCGAGGAGCGCACCTCCTCGCTGGCAGGCGCTCGTCGCCGACCTGGTGCAGAGTGGCGGACGGGGAGCACGACCGATGCAGAAGACAAAACAATACGGTGGGTGCGTGTCGTGCCGACTGGCGGCGGCCCTGCCGCCGGCGTTCATCGTTGATCGCCGCCGGCGACCCCAAATCGGTCGATGTTGAACGATCTGACGTTTCGGGAGCGGCCGATCGTTCAGGGTTGAACGATCCCCGCGGTGTCAGGAACCAACGCCCACGTCGGCACGGCACGGACCTGCCATAGCTGGTTGGGGACCTGCGTGGATTGTTTGTGTCGGCGTTGGACCCCCCAGCGCACAGGGCGCCCACGAGGCGCCCACCGGCGGCAGCGTGGCGAAACTTCGGCGAACCCGTCGAATTCCAAAGCCCTTAACGCACGGGGCGCTCAAGAGGCGCCCACTGGCAGCAACGGGGCGGAACCTCGACGAACCCGTCCAGCCCGTTGGGGAGATAAGAATCAGGAGGGAAAGAAACACACACACACAATTAATCGTCGACTCCCAGGAAAATATGCAAACATGATCGACCCACGAACCCGGAAAGGAATATAGAACTGTAACACATGGCAGCGTTTTCAAAGACACCTGATTGGGTGACGGGCAAATGTAATGCTGAGTGTATCGATCTCGATGTACCCTGCCGAGGGCTGTCCTGTGCTGCACCGTGCTGAATTGCGATGTGCCATGCCGCGAATGTGCTCTATAGCATCATGGATCGAGTCCTCCTTTGCATCCGAGTCCTGACCGAACTGATCTCGATCTTAAGCTCGAGCTGCCTGAACACAGAGTAGCTGCCCCAGAGCTGATGGACAGGGGAGCATGTCAGGAGGACGCGCCGCGAAACGTCCCAGGGGACGCGCCAGTCAACGCGCCAGGGGACGTGCCATGGGGACGCACCGCGGGACGTGCCAAGGGGACGCGCTACGGAACGTGCCAATGGATGTGCCACGGGATGTGCCAGGGGACGCGCCACGCGACGTGCAAGGGAGACTCGCAAGGGGACGCGCCACGGAACGTGCCAAGGAACGTGCCAAGTTGCAATGCTGAGTGTATCGATCTTGATGTACCGTGCCGAGGGCTGTGCTGTGCTGCGCCGTGCTGAATTGCGATGCGCCATGCCGCGATTGTGCTCTATAGCCTCGTGGATCGAGTCCTTCTTTGCATCCGAGTCCTGACCGAGCTGATCTCGATCTTAAGCTCCAGCTGCCTGAACACAGAGTAGCTGCCCCAGAGCAGGAGGACGCGCCGCGGAACGTCTCAAGGGACGCGCCCAGCGACGTGCCAAGGGACGTGCCATGGGGACGCACCGCGGGACGTGCCAAGGGGACGCGCTACGGAACGTGCTGGGGACAAGCGTTTCGCTCGAGACATCCTGCCAAAATCCAAGGAAATCCTGGCAAAACAAACGAATTAGTCGAGACATCCGCGAAATTCCTGCGCGCGGGACGCGGCACGCGCGAGACATCCTCGGAATTCCTGCGAGCGGGACGTGAAAACAAGCATTTTGCCTGAGACATCCTTTGAATTCTGGCCCCCCACGAGGCCCCCCACGTCACGTCAGCGCTCCCAGGGCCACGATCCTTCGTAAGGGCTCCTGGGCCCTCCTGGGTCTTCCTTGGACCTCTTGGGCCCTCCTGGGCTCTCCTGGAGCCTCCTGGAGCTTCTCCTGGGCCCTCCTTGGGCCCCCTGGTGCCTCTTGGAGCCTCCTGGGTCCTCCTGGGCCCTCCTGGGCTCTCCTGGGCCCTCCTGGGCTCTCCTGGGCTCTCCTGGAGCCTCCTGGGCCCTCCTGGGCGAAGTCAGGGTACAAAAACACATGGGACTTGCCACATTTCTGAAATTCGGTGCCACCCCTCACGCAGGTCGGCGGGGTCAGGATCCGAAAACACAGGGGATTAGCCACATTTCTGGAATTCCGTGCCACCCCTCACGCAGATCGGCGGGGTCAGGGTCCAAAAACACATGGGATTTGCCACATTTCTGGAATTCCGTATTCGCCTCACGCATATCGGCGGGGTCAGGGTCCAAAAACACATGGGATTTGACACATTTTTGAAATTCGGTGCCACCCCTCACGCAGATCGGCGGGGTCAGGGTCCAAAAACGCAGGGAATTTGCCACATTTCTGAAATTCGGTGGCGCCCCTCACGCAGATCTGCGGGGTCAGGGTCCAAAAACACATGGGATTTGCCACATTTCTAAAATTCGGTGCCACCCCTCACGCAGATCCGCGGGGTCAGGGTCCAAAAACACAAAGAGATTTGCTACATTTCTGAAATTCGGTGCCACCCCTCACGCAGATCTGCGGGGTCAGGGTCCAAAAACACATGGGATTTGCTACATTTCTGAAATTCGATGCCACCCCTCAAGCAGATCCGCGGGGTCAGGGTCAAAAAACACATGGGATTCCTGCTATTTCCGAATTTATGCAACTTCAAGAATCCAAAACTCTGTTCCCAGCGCCGTTCGGGAGGCCGCGGTACCTCGTTATTTATCGAGCGAACGCGTTTACCCCGTTTTTTATCGTTTAAAGTCGGTGTCGGAAAAAAGTGGACTTCACCTGTGAAATATCGAGGTTTCCTTAAAGGCAGTAAAATGCCAAGGGCACGATCTGCGTGAGGGGTGGCGAAAAATGGCCTTCGTCCTCACAATTTTAAATCGCCGGCCCCCTTCGACTTCGCAATTTATCGCGCAAGAAATTCGCCGGCCCCCTTCAAGTAAAAACCGGGGGTGAACCAACTAAAAGAGAACCCTGGGCCCATGCCCTTTCCGGGAAAATATGGGAAGTGGGGGGGAAGACGAAAACCCAAAAAATATAGGAAAATATGGGCAATATTTTTTTTGGGGGTATTTATTTGTGTGTCCCGGGGCCCCTTCAAAGAAAGAGTCAATAGCGCACGGGGCGCTCACAAGGCGCCTGCCGGCGGCAACGTCGCGAAACCTCGGCGAACCTGTCCAACTCCTGAGGGAGACATGCGAGAACCCCTGCAGCCGAGCATCAGATTCAGAACTCACCTCCCGAAAGACTGGGCCAGCGTTGCTGGACCAACTTGCCAGCAAACTGGCCCAGTTTCTCGAGCGCGTTCGTCCCTCCAGTATTCATAACAGAAGTAAGCCCAGGTTTCTTTCAAGAAACGTCCAGAGAGTCGGCCCCGATCTTTGAATCATATTTTTTCTTGATTCCAGTTCGGCTGCAGGTGCCAGCAATGTCCGCGGCGCAAAAGACTGCGGAGGCCCGGTCGGATTGCTTGGGTCGGCGCTGGAACGTCCTCCCCGCCACTCCCATCCCGGCGCGTGGAGCACGCCGCGGGCGGCGCCGGAGGCGCCGCCGGGGATGGCGGGGAGGCGAGCCCAGCCCCAGACCAAGAGATGTGCATGGCCAGGGCAGGAGGGCGGATCCACTCTAGCTGCAGATGAGCTTGAGAGCTTTTCGGTACATAAATCAGAAGAAATTCATGCGGCGCGCTAGTCTGAAGTATCTAGACGCTTGGCTTGGGTCTGTTCAGTACAGCAATGGGAAGGGAATTATCAGGGACAGTAGTGAAATGTATCTAGACGCTGAGATCAGTCTGCTATCAGGCCAGCTCTTCCTCCGCCAGCCTTTATCAACCGTCTGCCGGCAAATCCGCTCTTACCTTACTTCCGCCGGCATCCGCCGGGGGCGACACGCCAACCCTTCGATTCGTCGATGGTGAGTGTCGCCTGGAACGGGCGCTCTTGGCCAATTTCGAAGGCCCGGAGAACCTCCTGAATCCTCTGGCAGCATGCGAGCACCCCCTCAAAGCCTCCAGGCTGACCGCACTCATCTTGAACCATGTCAACCATTCCAGCGATGTAGGGACGGTCGTTTCCCAAATTCGGCTCTCGCCTTCGCGCCGCGCGCGTTCGTAAAAGCTTCCGGCAGTTACAGTGGTGGATGCCGCTTCGTTTTTAACATGCGGCCGTCGCTGATTACTTCTTCAAAATTCACAACGTATGACGCGATAATCCCAAGTGTGCAACAGTTGATGTCATGGAGCGCGGCTTCTATTTTCATGGGGCTCTCACTGGAGGGTTCTGTACATTTCATAACCACAGTTTCGAAATTGTGGAACGCTTTCGCGGATGGAGTCCAGAGCCTTTTCAAGACGTGGCTATCGCTGGGCACTTCCTTGAACGTTGTCATCCTACCTCGTTGCATGTCCCCTGGCTCGAAGCATGGAGGGTGCACTATCTATCGCACGGGGTGTCCACTTTGTGGCAGGCCCACCAGGCGCTCGGCATTCGATGTGGCGCTTCCTTTTGGCTTGAGGCATGTGGGGTGGATCTTTCACAAGTTGCGGTCTCCACGGGGTGGCAGGCCCACCAGGGCGCTCGTCACTCAAGGGGGCGCTTTCCGCAGCGGAAGGGAATACTCGCAGGGACTTCGGAGGCGGGGACTTGGGGCGGGAGCGTGTACGGCAGCATCGCTGATGCATCCTGGGTTTGCTCTGGTTCTCCTCCGCCTCCTCCTCCGCCTTCTCCTCATCCCTCCCCTATCTCTCCATGCCTCCCTGCCGAAGGTGCTATCTCTGACTACGGAGAGAATGCAGGACTACCGCCTGGACTTTGGAACCCGCTCGAAGTGTGCGAAGGACGTGGACGCCCTGTGCGCCGCCGAGAAGGCACTGCCCTCGGCATCCTCCCACTCCTCCCCCTGTACCTATCCCCATCGTTGCTCCTCCCACTCTCCCCCCTCCCGCGTCCTCCCTCCCCTTTCTTGTCCTCCTCGTTCGCTCGCCGCCTCGTGCCTCGTCTTCCGGCTCCTCCCTCCCGTCCTCCTCTTGCTTTTCCTCGCCCGTCGTGCCTCCTTATCCTCCTATCCCTCCTCCTCCTCCTCATCCATCTTGCCCCCTCCACCTTCTCCCCAGCCCTTGATCAAACACATGAAAGCGCACCCCACCGATTCGGCGCACTCCTGACATGTTTCGTGGCTTCATACTGATCTGCACCAGATGCCAGTGGCAGGGTCCGCATGCAGTTCACCCCACATCTCGGCGCACCGCTCACGCGTTTCGTGGGCCCGTGGGGAGTCCCACCGAAGACCCTAATGGCAAGGTTTGCATACAGCTCGGCCCCCATCTCGGGGCACCCCTCACACGTTTCGTGGCTCCGAAGGGGGCCCCACCGTCGGGTCCAGTGGCAGGGTCCGCATGCAGTTCCACCCCCCATGTCGGCGCACCCCTCATGCGGTCCGTGGCCCCATAGGGAGGTCCACCGAAAGCCCCAATGGCAGGGGCCGCATGTGGTTCCACCGAAGAATTCGGCGCACCCCTCACATGTTTCATGGCCTCATCATGATCTGCACCGGATGCCAGTGGCAGGGTCCGCATGTAGTTCCACCCCCCATCTCGGCGCACCGCTCACATGTTTCGTGGCACCGTAGCCAGCTCCACCGAAGGCCCCGGCGGCAGGGTCCGCATGCGGTTCCACCCCCCATTTCGGCGCCCCCCCACATGTTTCGTGGCCCAACGGAGCTCCATCGAAGGCCCCGGCGGCAGGGTCCTCATGCGGCTCTTCCCCTCAATTCGGCGTGCCACTCGCATGTTTCGTGGTCCCCATGTCGACGCACCCCTTATGCGCTCCGTGGCCCTATAGGGCGCTCCACCAGACGCCCCAATGTCAGGGTCCGCGTGCGGTTCCACCCCCAAATCGCCGCCTCTCTTACATTTCTCGTGGCCCCATAGGGAGGAGGCTCCACCGATGGCGACCTGCGTTCGCATGGCGTGCCCGCGCCCGAACGGACATGCGCCTTCGTGGCGCAACAGGGGGCTTCCCCCAGTTCGTCCCACCTGCCGTGCGGCTGTCGCGCCCGCATATGGTTGGGTCCGTCGCCAGGGTATTGACAATTCGATGGTTGTCGGTGTTTCAAAACTGTTCTCCCACTACAGCGTGGGCTTCATTTTCGGATCGGCGCTTTGCTCCCGTTGTTCAGAATGGCGCTTTCGCCCCAGCGCTGCCCATTTTAGGATCCGAGTCCTTTTCCATCCTTACCCCCCCCTCATTTCACCTCCTCCGCTTTCCCCTGGTCCTCCTGCCCCCTCCCATTCCCTCCACTCCAACTCCTGTTGCTGCTGCTGCTGCTGCTGCTGCTGCTGCTGCTGCTGCTGCTGCTCGTCCTCGTCCTCCTCCTTTATCGTCCTCCTCCTGTCCATTCTCCTGCTCACCCGCCGCCTCCCCTCCCCATGTGCGCAGTTCCCCGTGCCCGATTGCGTATGACACGATGAGGCTTTTCTGATGCTCGAGCTCCAGGTCGGCTATGACACGCGCCCGCGGAAAAAAAAACGATCTGCGCAGGGGAAGGGATGGGAGGGAGGGATGGTATTTCGGATATGGTGCGAGCGCGCCAAGCTCGGCCTTCCTCGCCCCTCGGCGTCGCCCCCGCCCCCTTCCCCCACCTTCCCCTTCCCCCGCCCGCCACCGCCCAAGTCGGCTGCCGCCTCTGCTCCTCCTCTCCCCCCCTCGCCCTATCCGCCTCCGCGTCCTTCTCCTCCCCCTCGGTCGGCCCCTCGCCTGAGCATCCTGCCTCTCGTCCGCTGCCCTGCTTCCCTCCCTCCCGTCCTTCTCCTCCTGCTCCTCCTGCTCCTCCTCCTACTCCTCCTCCTCCTCGTCACCATCCTCCCGCCTTCGCCTCTTCGTCCTCGTTCTCCTGGTCGTTCGCCCCGTCCTCTCTCTTTATTCCTCTCATTCCCCCCCAGCCTCCTCATCATATTCATGATTATCTTCCCCTACAGCCCTTCCTTCGTCTCTTCTTCCTTACCCTTGCTTCTTCTCGTTCACCTCTGTCCTCTTTGATTTCCTCATCCCCTCGTCATTATTTGTGTCATTCGTCTTCTCCTCCTCCTCCTCCTCCTTTTCTCCTCCTCCTCCATCTTCTTCATCTCATCCTCTTCTTCTTCCTCCTCCTCCTCCTCCCATTATCCTTGTTATCCCTCCCCGTCCTCCATCTCCCCTCTCTCCTCGTCGTCCTCTCCTCTCTTCTCCGTGTGATATGATCTTCCCCCTCCCTCTCCTCCAATGCCTCCTTTCCCAAGTCTTCCGTATCCCCCCGGTCGTCCATGCATTACTCCTCGCCCTCGTCCTCCCACTTCCCCGCTTCGCCCGCTTCTTCTCGAGCATCCCCTCGTCCTTCAAGCCCCTTCCTCCTGCTTCTCCTCCTTCCTTTCCTCCACCCGCCTCCTAACCCCGTACCTCTCCGAGAGAAGGCCCTCGTCGACAACCTGACCATGACTGAGCTCTTCGGGGCCGAGGAGGGCGACCCCGACGCAAAATCGGGCCAGGCGGTCTGTCGCCTGAGGAGGGGGAGGAGAAGGACGAGAAGGATGATGATGATGATGATGATGATGATGATGATGATGATGATGATGATGATGATGATGATGATGATGATGATGATGATGATGATGATGTGATGGATGATGATGAGGAGGAGGAGGAGGAGGAGGAGGAGGAGGAGGAGGAGGAGGAGGAGGAGGAGGAGGAGACACTGCGAATGCGCCCCGCTCCGTGGGGTCGCAGGGCTAGTGGCGGAAAATCAGACCCCCGACGATTTGCGTTTCCCAACAATATTGTGGTGATGGGTCCTCGTTTTGAAGAGACAGCGCCCCGCGTCTCCTCCATCCTTCTCCTTCGTCCTCCTCCCCCTGCCTCCTCCCATCCTCGCCCCTGCCCTCCGCATGTCCACTTCGGCACATACCTGACACGCTTAGTGACCCCATAGGGAGATCCATCGAATGCCCCAGTGGCAAGGTCCGCATGTAGTTCCACCCCCCATCTTGGCGCACCAACAGGGGGGAAGGGGGGGGGCGGCTTCCGGATGGGGAGGTTCAAAGGGGGAGGGGTAGCTAAGCTCCCCCCCGTTGGAAAGGGAGGGGGGGTAGCTTCCGGAGCGCGAAAGGGGGGGAGGGGGGAGGGGGGGGGAACTTCCGAGGGGCGAGCAAAAAAAGTGGGGGGGGGCTGGGCTTCCCTGGCAGGGGAGGTGCAATGGGCGGGGGTAGCTCAGCCCCCCCCCTTTGGGACAGGGAGTGGGGGGGGGAGCTTCCCGAGCGCGAAAGGAGAAGGGAGGGGGGGGGGTAGCTTCCGGGGGGCGGAAAAAGGGGGGCGGGGGGGGCGCTTCCGGCAGGAGAGGTCCAAGGGGGGGGTGTAGCTACGAGCTAAGATGGGATCCTCCGCCCCCTCTGGGAGTGTACCACGGGCGCGCTCTCTCAGAGGAATATTGGGGCCCATGTGTCCAATGACCGCAGACCTCGCCTCAGGCACCGATCCTGCGCTAGCCCGCCATTGGCGCCGATCTGTCGAAGGCATGCTCTTCTGCGCATCCCAGCCATTCGCGCCACACGGCGGCTGGCCCACAGACCCTGGGCTCCGCGGCCAAAGCCCCCTGGCTGGACCCACGACCCCCCCCGGCGTCGGAGCTCGAAGGCAGGGGACCCAAGGAGGAGAGGCAAAAAGGGGAAGGGGGAGAAGTCAGAGGCAGAGGAGGAGGAAGAGGAGGAGGCGGAGGAGGAGGAGTAGGAGGAGGAGAAGATCTGCCCGCCCTGATCCGACAAACTCGAGTTGGACTCGACGCGAACAGAGCCCCTCTCACTCCGACCAGATATCAATGCAGAGAGCTCGATGGGACCTCAAGGCGTTCAATTTCCTGCCCCGGGGCACGGCGGCGCATTTCTCGCATAGACCTTGCAAGTACTATTAATTGTACTAACGGAGTTCCCCACATACGATGTTACGGGGCTATCGGGATCAAGGGGCAGTTTGTCATGAAATGGCCGACCTGCCCTCACCCCTTTCCATCCTTTTCTGTCACCCTCCTCCTTCCTCTGTCTCTTCTTCGTCCTCGTACTTCTCCCCTATCCTCCTCACTCTCCTCCTCCTCCTCCTCTTCCTCCTCCTCGCCCTCCTCCTCCTGCTCCTTTTCCTCATCCTCTTCCTCGTTTTCCTCCTCGTCCTCCCACATGTGCGTTCTCCTCCTCATTGGATGGACTTTGTTGGCTTCTGCATCGGGGAGCCCTCCACGGAGCAGCCTTGCCGCATCGCATGGAAGACTCCCCGATGAAGGCAGCTCATGGAAGACCTGATAAATAATATGGTGTGCCGATGCCCTCCTGGCTATGGCGGGGCCTCCTAGGAGCAGTGGGAGGGGCACGAAGCCTGATAAATAATATGGTGCGCCGATATCCTCCTCGCTCTGGCGGGGCCTCCCTGGAGGGGTGGGAGGGGCACGACACCTGATCAATAAGATGGTGTGCCGATGCCCTCCTCGCTCTGGCGGGGCCTCCCTGGAGCAGTGTGGGGGGGGCCGAAACCGGATAAAGACTATGGTGTGCCGATACCCGCCTCGCTCTGGCGGGGCCTCGCTGGAGCAGTGGGAGGGGCACGAAACCTGATAAAAGATTTTAGTGTGGCGATACCCTCCTCACTCTGGCGGGGCCTCCCTGGAGGGGTGGGAGGGGCATGAAACCTGATATATAATTAAATGATATGGTGTGCCGATACCCTCCTCGCTCTGGTGGGGCCTCCCTGGAGGGGTGGGAGGGGCACGAAACTTGATAAAAAATATGGAGTGCCGATATCCTCCTCGCTCTGGCGGGGCCTCCCTGGAGGGGTGGGAGGGGCACGAAACCTGCCTCCCTTGAGGGGTGGGAGGGGCACGAAACCTGATAATTAATATGGTGTGCTGATACCCTCCTCGCTCCGGCGGGGCCTCCCCGGAGGAGTGGGAGGGGCACGAAACCTCATAGGTATTGTATGGTATAGTATGATAGGCATGGTATGGTATAGTATGGAGTGGTATGGTATGGTAGGTATGGCATGGTAGTAGGGTATGGTACGTATGATCTGGTTTGGCAGGTATGTTATGTAATGGTAGGTATGGTATGGTAGTAAATGGTAGTGGTAGTGGTAGTACAGCAGCAGAAGCACCGGAGGAGGAGGGAGGAGGGAGGGCGAAGGAGAGGGTGTTATTGGAAAACAAGAGCCCCACTCAGGATGTGGGGAAAAAGGATCATTGTGAGGAATGGCGATTGTTTCAGTGATGGTGACGATGACGACTACGGTGGCGATGGCGATGATGACTGTGATGGCGACGGTGATGCTGATGATGCTGATGATGCAGATGACGATGAGGCTGACGATGCTTATGATGATGCTGATGATGATAGCAATGACAATAGCGATGACGATTCCGATGCCTATTACGACGATGATGATGATGCTGACGATGATACTGATGATACTGCTGATGCTGCTGATGATGCTGATGATGATGCCGATGCTGATGAGGATGATGCAGATGATGATGATGATGATGAGGATGAGGATGATGGCGATGCTGCTGCTGATGATGATGTTGGCGATGCTGATGGTGATTGTGATGGTCATGGTGATGCTGCTGCTGATGATGATGGTGGCCGGTGACGATGATTGTGATGATTGTTATGATGATGATACTGATGATGCAGTTGATGCTGCTGATGATGATGATGATGCTGATGCTGCTGCTGATTATGATGATGATGATGATGATGATGATGATGATGATGATGATGATGATGATTGTGGTGGTAGTGGTGGTAGTGGTGGTGATGATGTTGACGGTGATGGTTGTGGTGATCGTGGCGCTACTGCTGATGATGATGATGATACAGGTGCCGAGATGGATGACAATGGCGGTGATGCTGATACTGCGGCTGCTGTCAATGACGGGTGTGTTGACGACAGGAGAGTTGATGATATGGGAATCTGTCAGGGGAGCAGGATGGGCAGCATGAGTAGGGGTCTTGATGAGAGGAGAAGCCAGGTGCTTCGCTGTTTGAAGATGAAGTTTGACGATATCACGTCTTCGCAGTGCATAGAGGAGATCCAGCGCGTGATCCGAGTCCAGGCACAGACGGTTTGCCGTCTGCTCTTTGCACTGGTTTCCACCCTCTCTTCCTTCTTCCTCCCCCCTTCCCTTCCCCTCCCTCCTCTGCCCCCTCCTGCTTTATCCTCCGCCTCCTCCTCCTCCTCATTCTCTTCCTCCTCCTCCTCCTTTTCCTCCTCCTCCCCCTCGTGCCGTCCTTCTTCCGGCCTCCTCCTGTTCGCCCACTCCTGCTAATCCTTATCGTTCTTTTGCCTCTCCAGTCCTCCTCTCCTCCTCACTCCTCCCTCGTCCCTACCTTGCCAGTATGGTTGTTGCATGGTCCTGCACGGTGTCGTATTGTGATCCTTTGGGGTGCTCGACCATTCCAAGACGCAAGTGGGTGTCTTTCCGCATACGCCACTCGTGGTCACGTACAGTTCCAAATTGTGGTTTTTGATTGGGGTGCAATTTTGTAAGGCACGGTTTGGTGTCCTTATGCGTCTCGTTTTTTGCTCCGAAAGGTTACATCTTGTGATACTTCGTTGTGCTACAGCATTGCAAGGGGCACGCGGGTATCCTTCGTACCTTGTCGGAAACTGGAACATATACATTACCAGTGGCGGGCTGTTTTTCAATCTCAGGACTTCTCGAGGGTCGAGGGCGACGCTGGGGTGGTGTGGTTATACTTGTTCCCCCGATGTCCCGGGAAAGCAACAAAACATGTATACACCAGGGTCCCGTATACACCAGGATCCGCTCTCCGTTGGAAATTCCAACGCAGGGCCGGAAGAAGCGTCGGTGTATAGAGTTCGATTCCCTACCTTGCTTACCAGGGTTCCCTACGCTTACACGCTATGTTGCTTAACCTGGCTGCACCGCGTCAATGCGTAGTTTGTGGTCTACTGAAGTGGGCTACTGCACTTCAAGACTCGATTCGGCGTTGTTACGCGATCAGGTTCTCTCGTTGCTCCGTACGTCAGCACAATGATTCTGGAACAGCGGCGGCATTGCAAGGCGCAAGTCGCTGTCCTTACGCGTCGTGTTTCTCATACCCTCGCGGACGTTTACGGACTGAGTGCGTTGCTTGGCTGGGCTTTGTGATTAGCTACCGCCATTACCTAAACCAGTCTGTAAGACCAGCTTCTGTCCGAGTTCGGAAGCCAGTCTTCAGGCACATTTCCAGCACTTGAACCGTGCAAGAAAAGAGGATCGCCGCGAAGCCGTGGATCGGCGTGTTCAAAGTGGAACTGCGTCAGGTCTATGCTGGCCAATGCGTTGGTTCGAGCATAGATTTCTATTTTCGATGCTACATTATATGCACCCTCACCTCCGCCCCTGCATCACAGCGGCCAGACGGCAATGGAAAGGCCAGCGCGTCCATTCTCAGTTTGCGCCGCGTTTTGTGCAGACTCAGCAGGGGCGATTTTGGCAGCTGGATGTCTGAAGCTGGCGCTGTCTGTTGGCAGGGATGTCTGAAGCTGGCAGGCATATCTGAAGCTTGCATTTGTCCATGCTTACAGCAGCAGCCTGGCACAGATGTCGGTCTGACAGTCGTGCTGTGGCAGCCTGTTGGCAGCCTTACCATGGGGCGTACCGTCGCCTCCTCCTACCCGGCCAAGCGTGCTGCGATTTGAGAGCGAGTGGTTGTTAGCTTTCGTGGTTATCTGGGCTTCATGCTGGCCTCTGTTTCTGGGCCCTGGTACTCGTCTTGACACTTTCATGTGCTGTGACAGGCGGCCTTGGCATCCTTAGCTGGTATTCTTGACTGGCACACTGGGCTGGCATCTTCGGCCGGTAGCTTTGCTGGGCGAAGTTGCTGCTGGGCTGTAGCCGTGTTCTCAGACCGCTTCGGGCGACCTCCAGGCCAGCCTCGCACATGTTTTTCTTGTCTCTTATGGATAAGAGCTTGGCTTAGGCTCCATCGAGGCACGCGGACCGACGCCATGCCTGCTCCGACAGACCTCGTGCCTTCTCTTGCTTCGCCACTCTTATCACCCTTTCCCTGTTCCCCCCCTCCCTTCGCATCCTATTCTTCTTCTTCTTCCTCCTCCTCCTCCCTTTCCTCCTCCTCCTCCTGTAGGGCACGAAACGGTAACACTTTACCCGTGCCTTAAACGACAGCCGAGACGATCCTCCTCCTCCTCCTCCTCCTCCTCCCTTTCCTCCCCCTCCTCCTCCTCCTCCTCCTCCTCCCCCTCCTCCTCCTTCTCCTCCTCCTCCTCATTTTCCTCCTCCTCCTCCTTCTCCTCCTCCTCCTCCTCCTCATTTTCCTCCTCCTCCTCCTCTTCCCCCTCCTCCTCCTCCTCCTCCTCCTCCTCCTCCTCCTTTTCCTCCTCCTCCTCCTCCTCCTCCTCCTCCTCCTCCTCCTCTTTCCCCCCTTTACATCCTCTCCTGCCTCCCCTCCTCTCGGGTTCTGCCGCCCCGCTTGTGCCCGACAAGGGCATCCTTGCACCCTGGCTGGTCGGCCAATGCCAGCCGTCAGCCACGGGCCATGTGGGCTTCCACGTTTGGCCTCCGCCTGCGGCGCCGGCTGCGTCTCCTGGGGCGCGGGGCGCGGGGTTTGCCGTGGGTCTGCCGTGGTGTGGGTGTCGTCCACTGGGGCGCGTCGAGAACAAACGGCGCGGCGACATCTGTATGCGGCCACCACCGCCGGCGAGGCCCATCCTGGGCCCTGGAGCGGCGCATGCGCCCCCATTGGGCTCGGCAAGGGATGCGCGCGAGGCGTTCCAGAGAGGGCCTCGCCCTCGAGGGCCGGGGGGGGCTGCAGTCTCGTCCTCGGCGGAAGGCGGCGGAGGGTCGGTGGAAGCTGGCGGACGTACAACGAGGGCGGCTCCGCCGGCGGAAGGCCGGCGGAGGCCAGCGGAAGGGAAAGTCGACAACATTTAGGGGTCCAGGGTTTCCAGATCCCGCCATATGGATACACCGCTCCTGGGCTCAGCATGCGCCTGGACAGCGGCGGTGGACATGTCTAGATCTCGTCACCCCACAGTCGACCCGCATAGCAAGGCTGAGCAACTTCCCGAGGTTACCCCTGCAGCCTTCCCCTTCGGCCCATCTTTGGCCGCTTTGGCTGGCCGCGCCCCGCCGGCAAGGTGTCGGCATGGCCGGCCAAGGCCCTTGCACCCTTCTCGTGCATCCGTACTATACGGGTTTACTGTACTCGGCGCCGAGCGTGGGGGGAAGTGAGAAGGAGAAGGCTTTCTCAGAAGGATGCGGGACTTCTCAGAAGCCCTCGTGCGTTCCGAGAAGCTTTCTTTGTCTTCGGCGAAGGTTTGGAACACTTCTGAGGAGGCCGCGGGACTTCCGAGCATTCTGAGAAGGCCCGCCTCTTCTCACTTCCCCGCCCGGGCTCGCGTTCTTCCCGTACGGGTTGGCTGTACCTCTCCCGCCTCCTGCTCGCGTTGCCGACGCGGTGGCCCCTGCCGTGCTCGCGGCCTCGGCCGGGCCGCACGCCGCCGCCGCCGCGGCACTGCCGCGGGCCCTCACGCCTCTTTCGCAGGGTCGCAGCGGGCTCTGCGCAGGGGCGGGACACGTACACGCTGGCCGTTGAAAGTACGTAGGTATTCTGGGACTTGAAGCGCCATTCTATCTCAGGAGCCGATGTGCTTTTTGCTATGTTTCTTGCTGTTCTCCTGGAGGGCCTGAGCCCAGCCGGCTTCATCTTCCTCTGCTGCTTCGTGTCTTCTCTGTATTTCTTCCGACCGACGTGTACCGATGCCACTGCCCTGCCCTCGTGTACTGGCAGTTTTCGGCCTCCGGGGCCCCTCGCCGTGTCGTCGACAGGGTTCCCGTCGTCGATGGCTCCGCGGCGCGTGCCATGCCACCGACCGCTGTCAACAGTGAGCTGGCCCTGGGCGTCCATCTCCCCCTGGAAAGTTCCTGGCGATTGACTCCTTCACGATCGAGCCCTTCGGAGAGTTGCCGACGGCGCCCGTCAGCGTCTTCCGACTCCTCAGGGCGTGCTCAGAACCCACCGTCGGTGGCGCCTCGCTCTCGTTCTCGTCGGAACTTGATGTCGAACACCTGTGGGGACGCGCGCACCCCTTGCCCCACCAAGACGTCCTTTGCGACATGCTTGATCTCCTTCAGCTGCGTCATCTGCCCGCGGACCATCGCTTTGGACTTCTACCCAGGCTTCAGCAGGGCGTCCTTGTTCAGCATCTGCTCGCGATTAATCGCGTTGGACTCCTGCCTTGTCTTCAGCGTGGCGTCCTTTTTCATCCTCTTGCGATCCATTGTGTTCGACTCCAGTCCTCTTTTTCACATGGCGTCTATGTTCATCTGCTTGCTGTTCGTCGTGTTGGCCTTCGCCAGCGGCTTCAGGAGTCCGTCCAAGAAGCTGTCGGTGCTTAACAAGCTGTTGAGCTCCACCTTGAAGTCCTAGCCGATGACCGCCGCCAGCGGCGTCCCCTTCTGAGCCGTCACGCTGCAGGTCTCGCGGCGCGCCTCTGCGAGCTCCATGCAGTATTGCAAGTATACTGTCTTCACGCCGGAGCCGCCATCATGCGGACGAGGGGCACCATGCTTGGGCTCCCCTTTGGTTGGGCCAAAATGGCTACGGGGGGTGGGGGGGACGAGGATGAGGATGATGAGGAGGAGGAGAAGGAGGAGGAGGAGGAGAAAGAGGAGCAGGAGGAGAAGGAGGAGGATGAGGTAATATGATTTTGGGGCGCCCTAACCCCGTGGGCCCAGGAGGAGGAGGAGCAAGAGGAGGAGGATGAGGATGAGGATGAGGATGATGAGGAGGAGGAGGAGGAGCAGGAGGAGAAGGAGGAGGAAGAGGAGGAGGAGGAGAAGGAGGAGGAGGAGGAGGAGTTGGAGGAGGAAGCTTCAAACGCCTGCCTTGGTATGCTCCGATTCGCCCTGGCCCAGCTTTGGATTCTGTGGGATCGGGGGGCCAGTCGGGGTCGGGGTACGGCACCGGAGCTGAGGGGCTGAGGGGGCCCAGGGCTCAATTGTATTCTGCAGCGTGTGCGGGGCATTTGCTCGGTGCCAGTCTCGCTTGCTCGGGACGGAGTACGATTTCCATTGAAGAGGGAACTCAAGCAGTGGCGAGCGTCTCGGCTTGCCTACAGGCCCACCAAAGAATATTTGAGCAAACGTTTGTAGTTGCACGACATGTCCTTAGAACATTTCTGGCTGGGACCGTCTTGTTTTAACACATCGGCCTCAGGTTCTACGAATTTTGTTTTCGTTCTTAGAAAACTCATTGGATCTAGGAACATGTCATTGTAGGCCTACAGGAATGCTGGGACGGTCGGTCCCTGCTCAAGGAAGGCTGCTCAGAGGTCGGCGCGAAAGGCGTTGGACTCTTTAGGCGGAGGCCGTGACCCGCAGAGGTCTTCTTCTTCTGCCCTGTGCTTTTCGTTTTGCTTGCGCTTTTGAAGACGCAGACGTCCCTCTACCCTTACTTCCCCCATTTGTCCTCCCTTCCTCTTCCTCCTCCTCTTCCTTCTCCTCCCAGGCCGTGGACGCGAAGGCGGACGCGATCCTCAGCCGCGAGTGCAGGGACGACATTGGCCTCTACTGCAAAGGTTGTCCATTGTCGTTTGCGTCGTCGTCGTGGTCCTCCTCATCCTCCTCCTCATTTTCCTCCTCCTCCTCCTCCTTGTCCTCCTCCTCCTCTGCCTTCTCGCCTGCACTGCAGGCGCCGTTGCAGGTGGTGTGCACCAATTTCTTCTCTTCCTCCTCTTCCTCCTCTCCCTCCTGAGGAGGGCGACGGAGAACAAAACGGATTAGGCCGAGAAGGAGGAGGAGGAGGAAGAGGAGGATGAGCAGTGTGAACCCAAGAGTCATCAAGGATGATGAAATAAACCCTCCCTTCAAGCTCCCTCTTCACAGGCCCCTACAAGGGTTCATTCCCACTGAAGGAACTGCCTCGTTGGAAGACAGCCGTCTGAAGACCCTGACGCATGCCAAAACATAGTTCTCGGGTTTCCAACGCCACGGATCAACCTGACTGTTGCGTCTTGACGGCCCTGAATCGTGCCAGAACGCCATTCCTGGGACTTCACACCGCGAATCAACGTGGTTGTTGCACCCTCATAATCTTGAGCCCTTTCAAACAATCATGGGAATCCATGGAATCCTTGTAAAATATTTAGGCTAATGTGCGCGGCGTTCAGGCGAGGGCCACATTTCGAACAGGAACCGCCCTCATTCATTGAAGCTCTTGCAAAGATTGTGCGCGGCGCTAGGGCGAGAGCCACATTTGGAAAACCAGTCGCCCTCAACCAGAGAAGCTCTTGCATATGTCTAAAACGAATGTACGCGGCGCTAAGGCGAGAGCCACATTTCGAAATCCAGTCGCCCTCACTCAGAATCTTGCAATGTCTAAAACGAAGGTGTGCGGCGCTAAGGCCAGGGCCACATTTTGAAAACGGCCCGCCATCCATCCGTGAAATTGCTGCCAAAGTTTACGTAAGCTTAACGGTAATAAATGATGAGGAAAGACCAGGCGAAACGCCCGGCCCGCCCAAAAATTGGCCTCGGGGTGCGACAGGGAGAAGTCGCTTATGAGGAAAAGGAGGAGGAGGAGGAGGAGGAGGAGGAGGAGGAGGAGGAGGAGGAGGAGGAGGAGGAGGAGGAGGAGGAGGACTAAGAGGAGCAGGAGGAGAAAGAGGAGGAGGAGGAGGAGGAGCAGGAGGACTAAGAGGAGCAGGAGGAGGAAGAGGAGGAGGAGGAGGAGGAGGAGGAGGAAGAGGAGGAGTTGGAGGAGGAGTTGGAGGAGGAGCCGTCTCCTGCTCAAGCCGTCTCCTGCTCAAGCCGTCTCCTGCTCCTGCCTCTCCCACTTTATTCCCATCTGTTTCATTCCACCCTTGAGAGAGCTCGGCATGGGCCAGCAGGGCAGCTAATGTATCTCGTGCAGGTTGCGGCGTAATGTCACGCCTCGCTTGCTTCTTCACGTACGTGGCGCTTCTCCTCCCTGTGGTGGCCAACGCGGATTCGTGCCTAATTGGGGAGGTCAGGGAAGGAGGTTGTAGGACATTGCAGCTTTCTTCAGAGCCGAGAGTGGAGTGCATGACATCAGGCACGACAGTGCAGCAGAACTGCGAGGGGTCTCCCTGGCGCTGGGCCCGCACGTCTTCGGCCATCCTGGAGGTATTTCCCCCAGCGCCGATCCCCCCAGAAACATTGCGAATATTTTGGCATGTTCGAGGCCGTTCGGAGGTGCTCGCGATCTTCCTTTACTTAGTGATCGAGACGTTAGGCGCTTTGGAGGAGGAGGGGGGTGATCGAGCTTCAGAGGGAGTCGAGAACACGTCGCCCTGCAACTTCCTGGGGCTCCTCATGTTGTTGCGCTTCGCAGGGTGCCTCTTCTGGGTCTTCGCGGTGACTGTCGCCCTCTATGCCGACATTTTTTGGGCGATGATGATATTTCGGGAAAGCTGCCATTCCAGAGTTCCCCGGTTGCGCGAGGTCGTGAGCAAGTTTGGCATGAAGTATGGGGGCGCTTTCGCCTTACTCGTCTGTTCTCTCTCGGTCTCGGCGCTGGCGGGTGCTGCCGTCGGCACGGTCGCCTGGATGTGGACGTCGACTCCGGCGGCTGCCGCTGCTGTGATGGCCTCGCCCGCGTTGGCCACTACATGGAGCACGATGGACTTCGACTCAACTTTGGGGTTCCCTGGGGAGGGACCTCCTGCACCAGGCACCCCTCTGGGGGGAGAGAGGCCCAGGAGGGACCGCAGCCGCAGTGGCGAGCGAGGACTGTCGTCACCGCCATTGGGAGACAGAGCGGGCGCTAGAACGCGAGTCGCCAGACGACCTGGTTCTGCCCCTCCACGCCGCCAGGACCGCCCCGCGGACGACGGAGCTGCGGACTTGGAGCAGGGAGTGCGTCGGCTGAACTTTGATGACGCGATGCCTCCGGCTGTTGATCCTCCCCCGGCTCGGTGGCACTGCCCTGTCGCAGGGTGCCCGTGCTCGGACTCGGCCAGGCACCCGGGCTGGGCCAGCTTCCAAAGCCTCAGCCGGCACTTGGACGCCCACCTTGCAGGGCAGCTCGCGGGAGAAGTGAGTTCGGAATGGTTGCGACGGCATGGCCGCGCTCGTTGCCGTGTGTGTGGCCTGTGTGTGGGCGCCAACCGGGGCGTGCACCCCTCTTGCCGCCCGGCTGACCGAGCCGCTCTCCGACCAGCTGCAGCACTCCCGCCAGCCGAAGGCGGCCCACCAGGAGCTCAAGGCGTGGGGGCGCGCCCTTCCCTGGCCGACATCCACAGGGTGGAAATCGCCACGTTGAAGTACGCGCCCAAGCGGGCCCGGGCGGCTTGGTCCCGCACGTTCGCCCGTTGCCTCGCGAACGCTGCGACGCAGAACTCGGTGGCAGCCTGGGCGGACCTCCAGCTGGTGGCAAAGGCCGTGCTCTGCTTGCCGCCTCGTGCCGGCCGCGAGGACAAAGCTGCGCTGGCCGCCTTCACAATCGACCGCCTCGCGCGCTGGGACGCTGGGGAGCGCCTGACGCTCTGGCAGGAGGCGCGCGCGCGCAACGCAGGGCAGCGGCGCCGGCGGCAGGAGGCGCCGACGACTGAGCAGAGGGCAGCTCGCGCGACCGCTTGCGCTGCGGAGGGCTTCTGGGGCAAGGGCTGCGCTGCTCTGACCTCTGGGGGCCTCCCCGAGCCCACGCAGGAGACAGCTCGTGCGCTGGAGCGCTTGCACCCTCCTGCGGCTGCCCTCTTGCTGGGGCACTTGGACCAACTCCTGGCCGCGCCCGAGCTCACGCCGAACTCGACGCTGCGGGCGCTGCGAGCCTTCCCGAAAGGGACGGCCCCTGGCCCCTGCGGCCTCCGAGCACAGCACCTGCTTGACGCCATGACCCCAGCCGCCCGGGCGACGGTCACGGAGCTGCTCGCCGCGGCGTGCCAGACCCTCGCCAACGGAGAGGCCCCGCGGGAGCTGGCGCCGCACCTGGCAGGTGCGAAGCTGGTGGCGTTGGAAAAGGACGACGGGGGACTTCGTCCGATCGCGGTCGGCGAGGTCCTGCGCCGCTTGACCAGCAAGGTGCTATGCGACCACGTCAAGGGTCGTGCGCGCCAGATGCTCTGGCCGCTGCAGACAGGCTGCTGCAGCCCCCTGGGGGCTGAAGCCACGGTTCACGCCGCGCGCCAGTGGTGCGAGCGAAATGCAGACGAGGACGACAAGGTGCTGCTCAGGCTCGACTTTGCAAACGCTTTCAACTCGCTGCACCGTGACCCCGCGTTGCGCGCTGTCCGCGCCCGCTTCCCGGAGCTGGAGCGCTGGGCGCGCTGGGCTTGCGCGGAGCCCTCCAATCTGTGTTTTGGCAGCCATGTGATGTCTTCGCAGGCAGGCGTACAACAGGGGGACCCGCTAGGGCGCTTGATCTTCGCCCTCGCCGCACGCGCGGTGTTGGAGGAGCTTGCGGGCGCTGCAGACTTGGACCTATGCGCCTTCTACCTGGGCGACGGCTTCCTGGCGGGCTCGAAGGAGGCTGTGGCGCGAGCACTAGCGACTCTGCAGCGCCGCTGCCCTGACTTGGGCCTCCTGCTCCACCTCGGCAAGTGCGAGCTCGTAGTCCCCTGCGGACGCAGGCCGGGCGGCCTGGCAGACCTCTTCCCTGCGCCTCTCCTGGCGGACGCAGAGACGGGGGTCGACCGCGTTGTCCTCAGAGGCGGCTTCAAGCTCTTGAGAGCGCCAATTGGGGCGAAGGACTACTGCGAGGCGTTCACCCGGCGCCGCGCCGACAAGACGAAGCCCGCCCTGGAGGCGCTCGCCAACCTGCACCCCCAGGTGGGCCTCGCGCTCCTGCGCTACTGCGCGAGCTACGCGAAACTCGTGTACAGCGCCCGCACGGCGCCGTCTGCTCTGCTCTCGGAAGCGTTGCACTGCTTCGACGACGGCCAGCGGCGCGCGCTGTCGAACCTGCTGGCGGCGGACCTGACGGACGCGCAGTGGCACCAGGCAGCCAGAGGGCTCGCCCACGCGGGGCTCGGTCTGCGGGAGCTGTCAGCACACGCGCCCAGCGCTTACTTGGCCAGCCTCGCAGCCACGCGGCACCTGTGCTGCGACCTTGACCCGGCCTACGCGTGGGCGCCGGACAGCGCGGCTACGCTGGAGGGGCAGGCGCTCCTGGCGTACAACGCCCTGCTGGCGCCGGCGGACGGCCTCGACCCGGCGGCGCTCGACAGGGCCACGCAGAAGCAGCTCTCTGCCGCGGTGGGCGAACGCGGGCACCAGACCTTTCTGGCGGGCTTGGGGGCAGCTGACCGCGCTGATATCAATTCAGAGATGCTGCGTGGCGCGTCAGACTTCCTCGTGGCGCAGCCCAGCGAGCAGATGGGGCTCCTTTTCGAACCCGAGGAATTCGCGTGCGAGGTCAGGGGCAGGCTCCTCATGCCCGTGTACGAGACTGAGCACTTCTGCCCCTGCTGCGAGGACGTCTGCGACCGCCGCGGCCGGCGCGCAGGACTATGCGCGGGGGCCGGGGATCGCGTCCACTGGCACAACGGGGCGATGAACGTGGTCGGCACCTTCGCCACCAGTGCGGGCTTCAACCCGACGCTCGAGCAACCTGGCCTCCTACCGCCCCGCCCAGACGACGTCCAGGTGAATGGGCGCCGGCCTGCAGATGTCTACATTCCCTCCTGGTTCCAGGGGGCGCCTGCTGCCTTCGACTTCGCGGTGTTTTCGCCGCGCAGGCAGGCTGCCCGTGTCCTGGCGTTCCAGGAGGTGGGGCGCGCGGCGCAGGAGTACGAGTTGGTGAAGAGGAACCACCTCGACACAGAGCGGCAGTGCCAGCAGCAGGGGATCGTGTTCATCCCCCTCGTGGCGGAGCCCTCGGGAGGATGGGGCCCGACTGGCGCCGAGACTCTGCGCCGGCTCGCCTGGGCCAGCGATCGGAGACGAGGCGAGGAGCTGGGGGCGGGCGCGGCACGCCTGTTCCAGCGCCTGTCCGTGGCGATCCGCCGGGCGACGGCGCGAGCAGTCCTGAGGAGGCACGCAGAGCTCCCCTCGGCTGGCGGAGCTGTGGCTGCCGCGCCGAGCTTGCTGGCAGAGCTGGTGGAGGACGACGCTTAGAGCGTGTCCCGCCGTCGCTCCTTTTCTGCCCCTCCTCTCGCCGTGTCTTCCACCCGCCCATGCGCGGGCAGCTACTGAGCATTTTGATTTTTTTCGTGTTTACGCGAGTGACGATCCCTTCTGCTGTCGTCTTCGTCGTTCGTCGTCGTCGTCCGTCGTTCGTCTTCCGCTCCTCTCGCCTTTCCCGCTCCTCCTCCGCCGCCGGCGTCTCCTCCTCCCCTCGGAGGGCCATTCCTTGCGGTGGGTTGGTGAAAGGTGCGCGCCTTGCTCCCGCTTGCGGAAGCTGGGGCGTGCGCCGATCGCCTCTCGCTGCTTTGCGTGGCCCCCTGCTCGCCCTTGTGCCCCTCGGGGCCTCCCCCGTCGTTGCTGCTTGCTGATGGATCGACGCTAGCTATCCACAGAGCAGGAGAATCAGCTCCCTCCTGCGCCTGCTCTCGTTGCAGTCTTCATGCAGTGGTTACCCTTTTCTGCTCGTGGGCAATCCGCTCGCTGAGCGCAGTCATGACAGCCCGGAGGCCGACGATTGGAGGAGGAGTTCGAGGAGGAGTTGGAAGAGAAAGAAAAGGCGGAGGCGGATGACGAGGAGTGAACGACGGGGGAGGGGCGGGGGAGGGCGAGAAGGGATGGGAGCCCATCCTCCTCGTGCTCCTCTGTTTGCTTCCTCTTCCTTGTCCGTGGTCCTCCTCCCTCTTTCTTCATCCTCCCTCCTCGCTCCTCGTTAGGTGGCTCGGCAGCGTGAGACTTGTTGGAGGGGGTGCCCCCCAAGCTGCAACTTCCATCCGCGAGCCCGAGCCACCTACGACGGTGCTGCCCAACTAATCCGCAGCGCGCGTGGGCGTGTTCAGAGCTCGTTTTCCGCTCCTACAAGGACTTACACATCCGCGCTGTACACGCCTTCCGGCACTCACGCACAAACGCTACGTTCTGGCCGTGCTCCCCCCGGCTCCCCGCGCGTTCCTCCTTTTCCCGTGCTCAATTCGGCCACGTGCATCCTGCGTCTGATTTCGAACGGGGTGAGGACTCTCGCCGCTGCGGCAAAGAAAGGTTGAGGGGTCGTGACCTCGATTCGTTTCTGTAGGTGGGCATTGGCCAGATTGCTGTGGGCAGCAGCTGGGTGGTGGATGGGCGTGCCCACAGGCGGTCGCAGCGCAAGTGTGGCATCCCTAGTGGCCCACCCCCTGGGGGTATCGGCGATAGCCGTACGAGGCGTTTGCGGTTGGTTGGCCGTTCTCACCGCTAGTTTCTAGCCCAAGCCATCAGCTAATTCCACGCTGTTGGGACTGGTAGTTGCTTTAGTGCGCATCGCGAATGGCAGTCTTGTGTTCGTGGCTGTGTGCGCCTTCGCAGGCGTTCGGACAGCCATGGGCGTTCCCTGGTGGCTCGCCGCCCGGGACAAGTGGCAATCTCCAGTGCTCGCGCTTGCCTTGAATTTTTGCAACTTATCCGATTCATTTGCTTTCAGGTCAAACTATATACGCTCAGGGTGGTTTATCAGAGACGTTCTGGCCGATCATCGCGAGAAAACGCTGGTGCTCGTGATTTGTGGCGATCGCCGTGGGCAGGCCGAGGCTTCCTTATATCATTCAGCTTACCATGCATGCGCCAAGCGCTTGTTGACGTCTGTGTCGTGTGTTGATGGGGCATCGATCACTCAAACAGAAAACGGGTACTATATATATGTTGTAAATTCTTCGTATGACACATTCAATGTAGCAACATCGCAACATCTGAATTTTCCTATCGGGTCTCTGGGAGGGAAGCAAGTCCTGTTTTGCGATCAAGGTCCCGCGGGCACGTGAGCTGTGCCTAGCAGTCATCGTTGTGAGGCTCTGCTATGTCATAATTCTTTCCCTGTTGCTCCAGGCGGAGCCCGGGTGCGGCCCTGGGGTCCCAACTGTGCCTGCCTCGACCGAGCCGATCCGATCCGATCATCTTTATCCTCTCCTTCCCCTCCTTCAGACTCAGTCTCCCTCTGTTTCTCATTGTCTCCTCTTCTCCTTCTCCTCTCTCTCGATCAATCCCCCTGTCCCTCTAAATTCCCCAATCAGTGCTTGCACTGAAGGGGTCCTCGCGGATGTTGCTAGAGTTGGCGAAAGTGCCTCGCCGATTTTGGTGGCACGCTGGGTTCCCGGGTTCCCGGTTCCCGGTTTCCGGTTCCGGGTGTTCCCGGGTTCCCGGGTTTTTCGCCATTGGTTCCGGGCCGATGGTTCACTACCGATCTCACTGTCGATCTCATTACGGATCTCATTGGTTCCTGGGTTCCCGGTTCCGGGTTCTCAGGTTCTTGATCATTGGTTCCGGGCCGATGGTTAAGTATCGATCTCACTACCGATCTCATTGTCGAGTTCATTACGGATTTCATTCAATTATGACAGATTTGGCGAAATTGCCCCGCCGATTTTGGTAGCACGTTGGGTTCCCGGGTTCCCGGTTCTGGGTTCCCGGGTTCTTGGTCATTGATTTTGGGCCGATGGTTAATTTAACTATCGACTTCATTACCGATCTCATTGTCGAGTTCATTACGGATCTCATTCAGTCGACCTAAAGTACTGGTCCCATTGCCGATCTGTATATCGACATCTCGCCCCCACTATCGATCTCACAACGACCTAAGTATCGGTTTCATTTTCGATCTCAATACCGACATATCGTCCCCACCATCGATCTCATTATCGATCCCACGATCGATCTCGCGATCGAATTTACTTTCGAACTCACTACATCTTACGGTCGATTTCATTACGGATTTTATTCAATCGATTTGTGTACCGGTCTCACTGTCTCACTATCGATCTCAATATAGGCAGATCGTCGATCTCACAGTCGATCCCACGATCGATCTCGCGATCGAAGTTAATATCGATCTCACTACCGATCTCACTGTCGATCCCACGAGTCCTGTAACTATATAGTTTCTTGGTTCACCTCAATCCCACGATGCACAATCGATATCATGATCGATCTCACTATGCATCTCACTCAACAGATCTCACCATGGACCCCATTATCGATTTAACCTTCGATCTGACTATCGATCTCACTACCCATCTCACTCAATCGTGTCATGTGGCCCCCAATGCCCTGCCCAGGGGGGCTCCCAACCGCCCTGTCCAGGGCGGTCCCGGCGGAGACGGGGCGCACTTTGCAATGTGAGGCCCGCTTGCGGGGACAACTGTACAGGCGGAAAAGTTATACCCGCCACGCTTGTTGAACGCTAGAGATTGTGCTGGCCTGGCCCCCGCGTCCCAAAATGTTGCAGATCCAGTTGTGCTGGTCAGTCTCTTCCTCCTTCGATCTTCCACCTCTTCTCCTCCCCCGATTCGCAATCGCCGGGCCATTGCGCTATGGTTGGATGAAAGTTTCGAGCTTTGGCAGGGCTCTCGGGCCGGCCAGGCCTAGAGGCCCTTTTCCCAGGGTGAAATGTTTTTTTTTCGTTTCTCTTGCGCCAGCGAGTTTCCAACGCTCGCTGGTTCAAAGGGTTTGTTGTGAGATGTCGGTGTGCTTTTCCTCTTCTGGCTTGTCTCCCGCCTTTCCTTTCCTCCCCGTTTCTCTCTTGCTCACCGCGCTGCGCTGATGCGCTTGTGGCATCCATTGACGCCGTTGCAATTCTCTTACTCTCTGCCCAGCTGCGGGAACTCATATTCCCTCTTCAATTGCTTGCGCTGGCCGTGCATATGTGCCCGGCCTCACACGCAGTTCCTTACTCATGTTGCCGTTGTCCGTTCTTTTTGTTTCAGCCTCTGCGCCCTGAAGGAGCTGATCCGATAGCATTTTTTTCTTGGTATTGTGGATGAAGCATATTGGCCAGAGATGGTGGATATTTCTAGCACGTGCATTCATATATACGTACATGCATAAATCTATCTACGTACGTAAACATTCCCCAACCAGCGCTTGCACTGAAGGGGTCCTCGCGGATGTTGAAGGATTTGGCGAAAGTGCCCCGCCGATTTTGGTCGTGCGCTGGGTTCCCGGGTTCCCGGGTTCCCGGTTCCGGGTTCCCGGATATTCTTGGTTCCGGGTTCCGGGCCGATTTCGGAGGGCGGCGAGGTTCCCGGGTTCTTGGGTTCCTGGTCGATTTTCTTATCGATTGGTCTCACCATTGATCTCATTACCGATTTCTCGATCGATCCCACCATCGATCTCGCAATCGATCTCACTATCAATCTCACAAGCGATCTCACTAGAGATCGCATGAGCGATCTCGCGATCGATCTCACTATCGATCTCATTGAATCGATTTCACTCTCGGTCCCACGATCGACTATTACAATCGTTCTCACGATCGGTTCCACTATCGATCTCATTATCGGTCTCAGAATCGATCTCAAGATTCATAGTATAAAGCTTCAAATCATCCATTGATAGGGTTTTCTCAGGTGTAATATCTCTCTTCATCTCTGCCTCCCTCCTCCCTGCCTCGCCCCCGCTCTCTCTCGCTCTCTCTCTCTCTCTTCATCTCCTTCTTTTACTCCCAATTTATTTCCACACCTCTCAGAGGCGTTGCGCCGGACGCGGTGCACGGCTGCCTTCGCAGGAAGATGAACGTGTTGAGCCCAGGATGCCTGAAGGCTGAGGGTGGAGGAGGTGAATAATCATGATGATGGTGGTGGTTCTGATGATGGCAAGGATGATGATGTTGCTGGTAATGATGATGGTGGTGCTGATGGTGATGACGAATGCGGTGGATGATGATGATGACGGTCGTTGGTGATGGTGGTATTGTGGTGATGAGGATGAAAAGGATGGTGAGTGCACTGATGATGAGTGGGATGAGGAGGATAAATCTGGTACTGATGATGGTTATGACGACGATGATGATCATGATGATGCGGATGATGAACATGACGACGACGATGATAATGATGATGCTGATGATGGTGGTGGTTGTGTCGCTGGTATGTGCGACGATGATGACGATGCTGGTGTTATTTTGCGGATGAAGGTGATGATGTTGATAATTGCGATGATGTGGGTGATGATGGTAGTTTTGGTTGTGGAAACGATGATGCTTATGATGATGGTCATGACGATGACAATGCCAACGACGGCGATCATGATGTTGTTGATGATGATTGTGACGATAGTGATGACGATGCTGCTGCTGATGACGATGACGATGACGATGACGATGACGATGGTGATGATGATGCCGATGAAACGGATGTCTCTGTCGACGGTGACGATGACGATAACGATGGCGATGGTGATGATGATGACGATGACGATGATGATGATTATGATGATCATGATGACGATGTTGATGTGGATAACGACGATGATCATGAGGATGAGGATGATGAGGAGTCTGAGGAGGCGGATGAGGATGATGATGCTGATGATGATGCTGATGATGAGGATGATGAGGAGTCTGAGGATACTGCTGAGGATGATGATGCTGATGATGATGGTCGTGGTGGTGCTGATGATGATGTTGCTGAGGATGATGCTCATTGGCTCTGAATGGTGATTATGCTGATGATGCTGATGATGATGCGGATGACGACATGATGATGCTGATGTTGACGATGATGATGATGATGATGATGATGATGATGATGATGATGATGACGATGCTGATTCTGATGATGATGAGGAGGATGAGGATGATGATGATGATGTTGATGATGCTGATGCTGATGCTGTTGATTATTTTGATGAACATGATGACGCTGATGATTCCTGGTGATGATGGTGATGACGACGAGTATTGTGATGACGATGATGCTGTTGCTGCTGATGATGTTTATGATGCTAATGATGAGCTGCTGATGATGACGATGATGACGCATAGTAAGACGACGAGGAGAGGGATGACCGAGGGGAACCAGCTCCATGAACACAACCTGTCGGAGGTCCGCGCGGATGTCTCGGGTCTGCGCGGGGCTCTCCCTTGGTGGTACCATCCCTGGCGGTCCAGCGCCGACGCATACATTCGCAGGGGCCTTCGACAGTTTACGTCTGCACCTTCGACTGTTTATTTTCAGCGGGGGGGAACAGAGACGGAATAGTATAATGCTTCTTTTGCTTGGGATGATGATGATGATGATGACGAGGAGGAGGAGGAGGAGGAGGAGAGCGAGGGGCACGAGGAGGAGGACGAGGCGGACGCGGAGCAGAAGGAGGAGGAGGAGGAGGTGGAGAGGAGGAGGAGGAGGAGGAGAAGGAGGAGGGGGAGGAGGAGGAAGAGCAGGAAGAGGAGGAGAAGGAGAAGGAGGAGGAGGAGGAGGCGCAGCATCGGGTGCCGAGATTGTGGCCGGTGATAGCGCCATGGCTACGCATCCCGCGCTCTCATGTCTATCGTGGTCCAGACGTGACCATCAACACGGTCGTCGCCACCAACGGCGTGGATCAAGGAGACCCCGTCTCGGCGCTCTTGGCCCCAATCGGGGAGGCGCCGCTGCACGACGCCATCAAAGAGAAGGGGATGGCATTTGCCGTGCAGGACGACATCTGCTGCCTCGTGGACCCGAGAAAGACCGGGGAATTGCTCGACGAATTCCCTGGGGTGCTGCGTCCGCTGGCCCCGCCCATGAATCTGACGAAGTCGTGGGTTTGTACCGGCGGGCAGGCCCCGCCGCAGCTCGGGGCAGTGCGCGTTGACAGTGTCGCAGGCACTCCGGTGGTTTTGAAGCTGCCGCTCCCGCCGCCCAGCTCGCCAGCAGAGGCGCTGCGAGCCCCACAAGCTGCCGTCGACAGGCTGCGCCTGGAGCGGACCCGGCTCCACGACAGGCTCCGGCGTTTGCGGGAGAGTGGCCTGAGCACGCAGACAGCCAGTGCGCTAGCCAGGTATGCCTCCGCGGGTGAAGCGAACTACACGTGCGAGAACTTCGTCGTCGACGATGCTCAAGCTGAGAGCGCAGACCGAGCCTCCCTCGAGGGACAGCTGGACATCCTGAGCGCGGAAGTTCATGAGGTCTCGGTGCGGGGGCGGTTCTTCTTGCCGTGGCGCTCTGGAGGCTTTGGGCTCCAGTCCGTGCAACAGTGTTCAGCCGCTCTGTACTTGGCCAGCTGGGCGAGGGAGCTAGAAGCTGCTGCACAACGATCCCCCAGATTCGCCATCGGGGCGAATATGTCACGAGAGTTGCCTACAGTGTTGTCGGCTGTTCGTTCCGCCAACGCCCATTTAGACAACGTGGGCGCAAGCAAAAAAGGCGGCCGGTAAACTCCGAGAGTCCGTCTTGACACGCGCATTGCAAACAGTTCAACGCGGCGCGATGGGACAGGAGTTGTTGGTCACCAGCTCTGCCGGGGGGCCTGGGTCTGTGCAGTACCTACAGGTGCCGCGGAAAGTGGCTGACCGGCTCACAGACCAGCAGTTGGTCACCAGCGTCCGGCTTCGCATGCATCTACTTGTCTTCGTCCAGTCGGGTCTGTGCGGTGCCAGCTTGCACCAAGGGCGATCGTATGGAGCTCATGTGGACACTACCAGCATGCATCCGCTGCTGTGCAGTACTGGCGGACACATCGCAGTACGACATGATGGGGTCTGGAACGAATTGGCTGCCCTGGTGCGGGAGAATGTCACACCGCCGGTCCACATTGAGCCACATGATGGTCGAGTGGAGGGCGATAAGCATCCCGACGTCATGTGGTGTGACATCAGGGGGGACCAGGTCTGGGCAGACGTCGCCATCGTAACGCCGACGCCCCGTACAGTGGTGAGCACAAGTGCCATGAGCGACAAAGAAGGTGTGATGGTTCACCATCATGAGGGATACAAACGCCAGAGATACCCGCACTTGAACCTGGTCCCGCCGTGCTTCTAGACCTTCGGCCGGCCCAGCGAATCCCTGGTGTCGCTTGTCCGCAGCCTCGGCGATGGCTTGGCTGATGCGCGGCGGAGTGAGTGCATCTCAAATTCTTGGCGCCGGCTCCAGACCGCGCTCGCCAGGGGCAACGTGGCCATCCTGGCGAGCGCGGGTGATCTCATCCCGCCATGAGGGTATACCGTGGCACATGCAATCTTTTCATGTTATTCGATTGGAGGTTGTAGTGGGAGGCTCGCTGGCTTGCGCCGTCTGCCTGGGCTCCCCTTCCTTTCTTTCTCCCCCCTGGTCGGAGGCCTCCGCTGCTGGCTGTCTTCCCCTTCCTCCCGGCTTTCTCCTCGCCCTTCATCCTCCTCCCTCGCTTCTCTTTTTCTCCGCCCCATCTCGGGGCTGTGGGTCCCGCGGCGAGATAAGAGAGGTGTGCAAATGAATCTGCCATTTGCGCTGCTCCTTTCTTCGACGGTCCCAGGGCCCGTAGACGGCTACCGAGCTCCAAATGCTTTCCTCTGCTGTGCGTTTTTTGATGGTCCCGGGGACCGAAGCCGGCCTCCGGGCGCCGCGGGCATTCTCTAGTGTCGGACGATCCCCGCGCGCCTACCCCAGTGGGCACCCATTCCAAAGTGGGATGGGTGCTGGGGTCGCAGCTGCAGCAGGAGGAATAGTAGGAGTCGGAGACGGAATCGATGGCGAAGCCAGTACCGATGGTGACCACATTAGAGAGAAGGCCCTCGCTGCCGCCTTGCTTGGCCGGCCTTGCTCAGGACTTTGGGAGTTAACCCCTTCTTTATGCGATCTAGGCATTCACGCCCCGTACGTGCTGGGGGCGACCGTTGCTTGCCAAGGGGCCGCAGTTGCTTGTCCGCGGCCCTTCCGCAGCGCCCGCAAAAGTAAAGCTTTAAATGGGTCTGATGGTTGAGGATGCGCGATGCGTGCAGTCAGCCCCCCGCAACGTGGTTTCTAGCGCCCCCCCCTTCCGACGGATATTAGATTGTGCCATCAACGTTGATTATAGCAGGGTAGGCAAACTTCCACCGCGTTGCGGCTGCGGCACGAGTGGCCGAGCCATAGCACTTCAGGCATTCAAATGAAAATATAAGAATATCCGGGAACGTGCGAGCTGACGTGGGCGGGGCGAGAGCAGCAGCAGCGGGGCGAAGAGGGCGGGGGGAGGGGGTCAGTTGAGCGGAAGATCGGGACAAATCGGAACCAGAGATTCTGGGGGAGTTCCAGAGAAAAATAGAACGCCGACTTGTGGAGCGCAGCGCGCGCATTCGCAGAAGTCCCCAAAGAGTGTTCGAGGGCTTGGGGAGCCCAAGTAACACATGGGCGCTCAATTAATCTGTTGAGGGCGGGCAGGAAATCTGGTGTTCGGAGGCGAGAATTTCGGACGCGAGAATTTGGCGCGCCCCGGTTTCTGGTTCTGTGAATCTCTGAAAAGCGGTTCCTTCGGTTTTACCGGGTCTCCAGGCGTCCTACTGTCAGCCAGAGACGAGTGACTGGCTGGCGCCGCGCCCGATGCTTCCGGAGTTGCGAACTCGGTATTCGATTCCCTGGGGCCCGCGGGCCCCTGGGCCAATTGCGAGGTTGCCGAGGCCCCCAGGCGGTTGCGCGCGATTGTCTCGGAAACCGGATTTGGGCATCCATGGTGGACGCCCGCGCGCACGCGCTAGGTGTCCGCGAGATTGTTCGGTGGCGGATCTTGCATGGCGCGGGGATTGTCCAAAGACTTTCCCGGGGTGTTCTTTACGGTTATTTCGGCGCGCTTCGGGAACCTTGGGGCGGCGCGGGGAAGTCGCCTGGCC